CACACACACACACACACACACACACACACACACACACACACACACACCAACAAATCAACCAACCAACCAACCAACCAACAAAAAACAAAGCATAAAAAAAGCTCATCATGGAAGCTGTAGTATGTCACAGTGTGTCCCACAATATATCCCTCTGCCCATACATCTTCACTTGCAAATTTTTATCATTGGTGAATCATTGGTCTGGTTCAAGGTCTCTGACTTCTGTGACACCATCAGTCTTGGATCCTCAACAGTATTCCTCCCGGTTATTCGGTTGTTGCCGGGTCATAGATATCCTGCAGCTTTGGATCAGCATAACTGGCCCTTTCACTCGTCCCAACCATTCACAGATGATGTAGATTTTGGGTAGGCCAACTCAGAGCCCTGGCTCTGGGCCTGAGCGGTAGCTAAGCTGGTCAACCCACTGTCTCTCCTTTATCTGTACCACCAGGGCAAGCTTTCCAGGACTGCTCCCGCTGGGCCACCCAGTGCTCCCAGCAGCAGAAAGCATGGTCAGCTCCACCGTGCTGCCCAATCAAGGCATAGGATCCACTTTCCCAAGTGCTGCAGTCTAAGAGGGTCCGGGATAGCTTCCCCCGCTATCTCACCAGTGCCCTTCACCCACATCCTCTGGACCAAGGCCGGCCCTACTGTGCCTCACAGGTGAGGTGCGGGGCCCACTCTCAGAGTGCTGCAGCTGGCGAGGCCAGCTTATTGGCTCTCTCATGACCCCAGAGTCAGCTCTCCTGGGGACCTCTGGTAACATGGGGCAAAAGGGTAAAGAGCATCTCCCCCTGCCCAGGTCACCTCATGGCAGAGGAGAGGCATAGCCAGCTCTCTACACTCACATGCTCGGCCGGCTCACCGGGCTCACGCTGCTATGCTGTCCAGGGGAGGTTGTAGGGCTTGCTCTCCCAAGTGCTGCAGCTGGTAAGGGGCAGGGATAGCTCTCCTGTGCTTATGACCCCGTGGGCAGCTTTCCCAATCACTGGCGTCAGCTCTCCCGTTCTTATGCCCTAGAGGCCAGCTCGCCCATGGCCCCGCCACGAGGGCCAGCTCCACCGTGCTGCCTGGGCAAGGCACAGGGCGCACTCTGCTGAGGGCCGCCACCGGTAAGAGATGGAGCCAGCACTGCAGTGTGCCGCAGCGTGGGCAGGGTCAGTCCTGCACAGGCCCTGAACATCCATGTGGTGTCCGGAGGCTGCCCCGACCAGGGACATCCCCATGTTCTCTCGTGGTAATATGAGCCATGGACATGGACACTGACCCCTGCCACTGGTAGCCACAGACCCAGACGTGGCCCTCAGCGGCAGCTTGGGCTGGGATCTCACCATAGCCCCAGGTGGCAGGGATGGCCACTCACAACAAGCTGCTCCTCTCCACCTTCAAGTCTTCAGTTCCATCTCTTTTCATAATGCACAGGCTGCTCCACTTCTCTTTCTCTCCTATCTGTCCACTACACACTCGCACATGGTGGTGGCTCCACGCAGCTGACCTGCCCCTAGGTGACATCCTCTGGCAAGCGGGTGTCTACGGCCTGCCTGTGCTATGTATGGGAGAGGAGGTCTGTGGATGGTGCAGTGGGCCACAGGTCTCTGTCTGCCTTCCTTGCTGCGCTGTCTGGTGGTGGTGGTAGGCGGGGCTCTGTGTGTCTAAGGTCCTTCTGAGCTGTGGGGTGAAGGGCAGGTCTGTGGGTGTCTTTCCCCACCCACACCACATGGCATGGTGGAATGAATACAGGTCTGTTTGTCTTCCTTCTCCATGTGGCACCACCTGGATTTGATTTGATTTGAATTTTATGTGTCGTAGGCATGAAATTGCCTTGGCCACCAAGCCAGGCACCAAGCTTCGATGAACAGAGGACTGCTGTCTGCTCTGCCCCTGCCTGGTAGAAGAGCAACACCATCAACATGTGTCTCTTTACCCATTGCTGGGGGAGGGGAGACTTTTTAAATATAATTTCATTATTTTAATTTAAATGCTGTAAATTGTCTCACTACTCTGCCAAAATGTCAGATAAGAAGAGGATGGACATCAGAAGAGGGAGAAAACAGGGAACAGGACTGGAGCCTACCACAGAGGGCCTCTGAAAGGCTCTACCCTGCAGGGTATCAAAGCAGATGCTGAGACTCATAGTCAAACTTTGGGTAGAGTGCAGGGAATCTTATGAAAGAAGGAGACAGAAAGGCCTGGAGAGGAAAGGAGTGCCACAAGGAGAGCAACAGAACCAAAAAGTCTGGGCACAGGGATCTTTTCTGAGATACTCCAACCAAGGACCATTCATGGAGATAACCTAGAACCCCTGAACAGATGTAGCCCATGGCAGTTCAGTGTCCAAGTGGGTTCCCTAGTAATGGGAACAGGGACTGCCTCTGATATGAACTCAATGGCTGGCTCTTTGATCACCTCAAACAGAGGAAGACAATGCAGCCACTCCTGATGAGACCTGATAGACTAGGATCAGAAGGAAGGGGAGGAGGACCTCTCCTATCAGTGGCCTGGGGGAGAGGCATGGGTGGAGAAGAGGAAGGGAGGGTAGGATTGGGACAGGAAAAAGGAGGAAGCTACAGGTGGGATACAAAGTGAATAAATCATAATTAATAACAAACAAACAAATAAATAAAAGAAGTAATTAAGAGGGGACATGTTCCTTTTGGCTCATGGTCCAAGGGTACAAATTCACCATTTGGAGAAGGCATATTGGCAGAAGCTGGTCATGTTGCCTCCACCATGAGGAAGCAGAAAGGGATGAGGTGAGAAAGCACTTGTGTTTAGCCTTTAGGATCTTCTCTGTGCAGTCCAGGACCCCAGCACATAGACTGTTAGCACTCACATTCAGGGTGGGTCTTTCTACCACCATTAACCTAATCTATACCAATCCCTCACAGACATGGCCATAGACCTGTCTTCTAGATGATTCTAGGTCTTATCAAGTTGATGACCATCACATATACCCAAAGAACTTAAATATAGTGGTGAAGATCCTGCTAGGACCAGTACATCCTGAATCTTTATCAGTAATGTTCCTAATCTATTACAGTACTCAGTATTTTCATGGTGGGGTCTTTTATGAAAGTTTGCTATTTATTAACGTAAATGTAAATAGTTATTAAATAGTTATTAGGAGAGATTATGTAAATCTAGTTTAAGAACTTGTTAAAATCAGAATATTCCCAAACAGCTGAAAAATGTAATTCCATGACATGCATAAGCTCACACAAGACACATACATAAACATTAAAAAATTTAAAACATCATTAAACAGTTACAATGATGACACATGATTCAGTTTGATATGTATTAGTAAGTTTATAAATGTATTATGCTTAATATTATTGTTATTCAAGTTTTTATCCTATATTTTAATATACTTTTTAATGGAAAGACTCAGCTAAACAAAGTGGGAGTGGAGAGAAGAAGAGAAATGAAAGGGAAAATTTGAGAGGTAAGGGCACAGAAGGAGAGGAAAGCTTGAAGAGAGCAAGAGGGGAAAAAAAGAAGTTGATTGAGAAGAGAGAAGACAGACAACAATAGAAACTGAACAGAAAGATAAAGAGAAAAAAACATAGTTGAGCAAATGTCCTTGTTGTATGGTAGAATATCTTTTGGTAGAGTATCCTGGGTATATACCCAAGAGTGATATAGCTGGGTCTTGAGGTAGAACTATTCTCAGTTTTCTGAGAAAGTGCCAGATCGATTTCCAAATGGTTGTGGAAGTTTGTTCCCCTTTCTCCACATCCTTACCAGCATGTGCTGTCACTTGAAGTTTTGATCTTAGACATTCTGAGAGGTATAAATGGAATCTCAGAGTTGTTTTGATTTGCATTTCCCTGATGGCTAAGAACATTGGACAATTCTTTTTTTAAATTTATTTTACTTTTATTAATTACAGTTTATTCACTTTGTATCCCAGTTGTAGCCCACTCCCCCCATTCCCTTCCAATCCCACAATCCCTCCCTCTTCTTCTCCTAGGCCCCTCTCCCAGTCCACTGATAGGGGAGGTCCTCCTCCCTTTCCATCTGACCCTCTTCTATCAGGTCTCATCAGGACTGGCTTCTTTGTCTTCCTCTGTGAACTGGTAAGGCTGTTCCCCCTTCAGGTAGAGGTGATCAAAGAGACAACCCTGAGTTCATGCATTGGACAATTCTTTAAGTGCTTCTCAGGCATTCAAGATTCCATTGTTAAGAATTCTCTGTTTAGCTCTGTACCCTATTTTTTTAATTGACTTATTTGATTTCTTGGTGTTTAACTTCTTGAGCTCTTTATATATTTTAGTTGTTAGCCCTTTGTCAGATGTAGAATTGGTGAAGATTTTTTTTTTTCCAATCTGTGGACTGCTGTTTCACTTTATTGATAGTGCCCTTTGCTTTACAGAAATTTTTCAGTTTCAAAAGGTCCCATTTATTAATTGTTGATCTCAGAGCCTGAGCTGTAGTGTTCTGTTCAGGAAGTTGTCTCCTATGCCAAAGAGTTCAAGGCTCTTCCTCACTTTCTCTTCTAAGATATTTAATAATCTGGTTTTATGTTGAGGTCTTTGATCCACTTAGACTTGAGTTTTGTGCAGGGTGATAAATATGGATCTATTTGCATTTTTCTACACATAGATATCCAGTTATTTGTAATAGTCAGAATCTGGAAACAACCTAGATATCCCTCAACCAAAGAATGGATAAAGAAAGTGTGGTACATTTACACAATGGAATACCACTCAGCTATTAAAAACAAGAAAATTATGAATTTGCAGGCAAATGGATGGATGGAACTAGAAAAGATCATCCTGAGTGAAGTAACACAGACCCAGAAAGATACACATGGTATGTACTCACTTATAAAAAGATGTTAGCCATACAATACAGGATAAAAAATACGATAATTCATAGATCCAAAGAAGATAAATAACAAGAAGGACCAAAGGGAGGGTACTTAAATCTTACTCAGAAGGGGAAATAGTATAGACAGCAGAAGTGTTTAGAAAGAATGAAAACTAGGCAAGAGAAGGAGCACAGAGAAATGAGGGTGGAGACCAGACCTGGGTGAGTGGGGGTGAGAGGACAGAGGGCCGACAGAGAGAAGAGAAACTGTGGATGGGGAGATCTCTGTGGTAAGCTGGAGACCAAAGACAGGGTAGGCTTCTGGGAGAATATGGGGGCGAGTCTAGCTGAGATTTCTAGTAGCAGGCATCACAGAGACTGAAGAGAATGCCCTAGATTAGACAGAACTCCTAGTGGAGGGAGGGGAAAACCAACCTACCCACAAAAAATTTAACCCAAAATTTACCCTGCCTATAAAATGTGCAGGGATAAAGACAGAGCAGAGATTGAGGGAAAATTCAACCAAATGCCTGTTCCAAGCTGAGACCCACCCATAGGAGAGAGACTACGCCTGACACTAATAATGATACTCTGCTATACTCACAGACAGGAGCCTAGCATAACTGTACTCTAAAAGGCTCCACCCAGTAACAGATCAAAACAGATGCAGAGACTTAGAGCCAAATATTGGGCAAAGTGTGGGAAGTCTTGTGAAAAAGTAGGATAGATAGAAGGACCTGGAGGTGATAGGCGCTCTACAAGAAGACCGACAGAGCCAACTAACCTGGGCCAGGGGGCTTGCGGAGACTGAAGCACCAATCAAGGACTATGCATAGACTGGACCTAGGTCCCCTAACACAGATGTAGCAGATGGGCAGCTCAGGGCTCATCTGGGTTCCCTAGTAAGGGGAACCTAGGCTGACTCTGACATGGACTCTGTTGCTTGCTTTTTGATTACTCCTCCTGGCGGGTCTACCTCACCAGGCCTCAGGGGAAGAGTATAAGCTCATTCCTGATGGAACTTAATGAACTGGGTGGTTGGGTGGGGGCTCCCCTTTTCTAAGGAATAGGGAAGGAGGGATGGGGGAAGAGAAAGGGAGATTGGGACCAGGAGGAGAGGAGAAAGGGGGCTACCAGCGAGATGTAAAATGAATAGAGAGATAGAGATAGATACAGACATACAGGGCCACAAAAAAACAGGGATAGTGTGGATCAGGGAGACAGGTAATAAGACAGAGATAGGAATCAGAGAGAGACAAATGGACACTGAAGGAGACAAAACACAGGCAACAAAGAAGAAACAGGTAGAAAAGCAAAGCTGAGTGACAGACAGGCAGAGCAACAGAGGTAGGTAGCTTTATTTCCAGCGATCAGCTGCCCTCCTAAATCTTGGCTTCCATAAACCCACCATGCCTCTACAGTAAGTCTCTCTTTCGAATAGGTGACTGCCACGCAAAGCTAAGTTTTGATCTGGAACTCAAATGCTAAGATAAAACTGAAAATCATAGTCAAGTCTGTGCTAGTTTTATTCCACTGTTACTTTTCTTTCACTCTATTTTTCTTTTGATGTATCTATTTAAACTAGTTGGAATAAACTAATCTAGAATGAATTATGAAGAAAATTGTCATAAAAAACTTATGGGTATATTTGCTTGTTTCTGAATATGTTAACTCTAACTTATTAGCTATGTACTTTTAATTTCTTTATCTGAACAATGAGGACTAGTCTACCTTGAGGATTGGTGAGCAAGGATTACAAAGAGTATATGCAGACAGAACATGTAGACCCTGGAGAGAAGACACTCGGCAAGCAAGCTCTACCACCATTCTGGCAGCCTCTGGGGGCTCTGCTCAGATTTCTTTCAACAAAGAACCTGTTGTCATGCTGCAAAGGGGTGTGTTTAGCACTAACCAAGCTACAGCATCTTAGGACCTGCATCTGCTGTCAAGATGAGGCCATCATCTCAGTCTCCAGCCAAGTCCTGAGCACAACAGCACAATCTAGACTTGGGTGAGGCTTTGCCTCAGAACTCCCCATTGGATCCAGGCAGTAAGGGTCCAATCCCTCCCTTATTTCTTTTTTCAGGTACCATCTGCTCCAATCAGACATTTGAGCTCCTAATTATGTCTCAGAATCTGTTTGCAGGGGTCCCAATGACCCAACTGTCAACCCTCAGTTCACTTTCAGAAGCATTAGCTTGCATGCGATTATAGAATTTAGCTGCACCTCATTTTCTCTGTATTTGCTAAGAAATTGTGTGGCACGTTCCTAAATCTTCATAAGGAGTATATTTTACAGTCTTTCTAAGAATTATGAGTTAATAAAATGCCAGGACTTACCAACATGTGCTCCAGGGGCTGAGGGAGAAGAACATTCCTGACTGCAATGTCAAGAGTGGAACTGTGAGGAGAGAGCAGAGCCTTGCCACCTAGAACACCAGAACTAAACTTTGTTGGAACACGTGGACCTCGATCTTCTGATTCTTTTTCAGGCTGAAATACATTCACAATATGAAATATAATTCACAATGCTAGAAAGCATTCCTACTCCTTCTCAGGTGTTCAATTAACTTCTTCAGGTAATTGAAAAAAAATTAAAGTTGAAGATAAATGATTTTCCAAGGAAAAGCATGTCTTAAGGCGACAGGCATATATCTCTAGCACTGTAAAACAAAAGAACCCAAAGCCTGATATGTGCTTAAAAAGTAACGTGTTCCATATATTTAAATGAAAAATCTGGTAAAAGACAAAATAGGTTGAACTCCTCAGTTCTACCACATTTAAGGCAATAACATGGTGTTTTACAAGGTTGGAAATATGGCTCAGTCAGTGGCAGTAGGGGTCAGAACTTGGGTAAAAAGGAGCTAGAAACCCAAATAATGTTTTTGTAAAAACACAATAAATTATGAGATCTGTTTGCCAATATCTAATCTTATACTATGGAAAATAATAAATATATGTATTATTGTCTTTATTATGTAATAATCTGTATTTAAGAAACCACATCCCCTAAAACAAAAGAAAAATCCTCTTAACATTAGGACATATTAACCATCACAAAGTGTGTTGTTTTGTTATCTAATTCCTATGTTAAATATTACACATGTCAGTGACTCCAGCTATGGACTTGGTTCTTGGTTTCATAATTATTTATATAAAAGTACTTAAAATACAAGCATGTAAAACATAAGTAGGGAGGTGAGATTTAAATTTTACATAAATTAGATTGTGGTGATCTAATTTTGAGGATTTTAAGTTGGGTGGGGAAATGAAGAGGATGGCAGAATAGGGGGAAGGAAGGAGCTAAGGAATGTATAGGCCATGGGAACAAATAAATGAGAGAATATAGTCAAGAGCAAAGCATGCAACAGCCTCAACTGACTTCCTTTCTCTAAAAATTTTAGTCCTTGAAAAACAGATGCCTCTTTCAGTCTTGGCATCATTCTAAACAGTTTCACTAACAAAGCAGTTGGCATACACAACTGTCCTCTCAGTTCCTTGACTTCTGGGTTGCTTTTTCCCTCATGCTACTTCAGTCATGTCACCATCAAAAGCCTAGCCCTCATCTTCAATACAAACTGTATCAGACAGCTTCCTACACCCTCCTAATCTCTAAGTGTCTTCAAGAGATAATGTGTTCTCCTTGTTAAAATCTTTAGTTCACTGATCCTGCTATTGTGTCTTCACCACAGGCCTGCTTTAGTCTTCTTTATATGTAGTCACACTATCCATCAGTATAATTAGTTTCTTCTCCCTCCTCCTTCTATCCCAGATGCCTGACAAACCTTCAGCCTCAGACAAGCCCTCACCTCCCTATCCTCTGTACTGCCAGTGCAACTGAACATTGGTAGAACTGTGTAACCTGGAAAATCACAGACTCAACAAGCAACTATACTACATTCGTCTAGCTTCTTGTGACTATTTCATACGTGCTCTATTTTCCTTAGACCCGACTTCTTCCCTTGACGATTTTCAGCTGAAAATCTTTCACCACATACTCGTGCAACAACAGTAACCATCCGACAGGATGCCACCCAAGACTCAAAAACTTCAGGGCTCAGTACAAAATGTGAGGCTCTTGTTTAAAAATTATTAACAATTTAAAGATAGAGTATTGGATGTGCATCTTTAAGTGCAAATTCAGCCCTTTCAGACTACATCTACAAATGCACCACAATGGAAATAGCCCCTCTGACAAAGGCCAGTACACATGCTTAAATTCTAGACTGATGCCTTCTCATCTTCTCTAGGACTTCTCTCTTCAATATGATAAGGACATTTAAAAATAACATACTGCTTCTTAAACAATTTTACTGAGATACAAATAACATGCCCTAAAGTTCACTTAACTATGAAATTCAGTATATTAAGGGTATTTTTAGGGTCATGCAGTCATCACTAAATCTAATTTTAGAACATTTTGTTCCCAAAGTCTCATATTAGTGACAAATTTCCATTCCCACTACACCAATACTAAGTAACCTTTTCTTTAATTCTGTCTTTATATATTTTCCATGCTGGGTATTTCCTATAAATGGAATCATATAGTGTGTGCTCTTCTGTGACTTGCTTCTTTCAGGTAGCATACTGTGTTCAGAGTTCATCCATGGTTCAGTATGTATCAATGCTTCATTTGTTTTTGACTGCTGGGTAATATGTTATTGTATAGATATGCCACATTCTCTGATGCCACATTTCATGACCCCCAGGGCCAGGTCATCTGCCTGCCATAGGTGGTGAGGGACAAAGGGGTTGGAGGGTATCTCTCCCTTGTCCATGCTACTACACAGAAGATAAGGAACAGGGACAGGTCTCCTTCGCTTGTATCTTCTACTCTCATGCCCCCAAGGACAAATCTCCCATGATTCCCAGGTGAGGGATGGAACCACCCAGACATCACATGTTCCAGGGTAGCAGGCCTTTGGTGGTAACATACCCCTGCTGCTGCAGGGCCACAGACCCAGACATGGTGGCAGCACAGGCCAAGACCCCACCATGGCTCCTCACTGGCTCCTCACAGCAGGCTGTTCCTCACTGCCCTTGAGTCTCCAGTTCTGCCTCTCTTCATTGTGCCCACATCCTTCTGTTTCTCTTTCTCTTCCATTTCTCCTCCACTTACTTTGCTCCTCTTAGTGCTTTTAGACAAACATTTGAAATTCGAGTCAAGTTTAACAAGGTCTCTAGGCCATGGAGGGCTCCAGCTGCCCACTGGGTGAATTTCAATGCTATACTCCCATCTTCCTGTCCATCATTTTTAGTAGTCCTCAAAAGTCATCTGATATATTCAGGTTTTTTGGTGTTGTTTTTTAAGTAAAAAGGCTTTTTGAGATCCTGCCTCTCTATTTGATTGCTACTCTTTTCTTCTTTTCTACTATTTCCCTTTAGGATCCGTTCCCCAACCCCACCCCAGGTCTTGTAGATTATTGCCTTTGCTACTTCTGCTGCTGCTCTTTGGTCTTCAGCTCCTCTTTGTGCTTGATGAACCACTGGCACAACTTGTCTTCCAGTGTGGCTGTGTCACACGCAGCCTCTCAGCAATGACTAAGTGCACCTGTTACTATGCAGCTACAGCAGGATTTGGCACTATCAGTGTTTTAGATTTGGGACATTCTATTGTGTGCTTTATTTGCAATTTTCTATGAGCATGTGATGACAATCAACTTTTAACACACTTCTTGTCATCTGCATACCTTCTTTAAGAGACGTATCTGCTCAGATCATTTGTCCATTATTTCATCTTCATTCTTGACATTTGTAAGTTCTTTGTGTGTTTTTGGATTACCATCATATGCACCTTTTAGAAATGTGAGACTTGTCTTATCTTTCTTAACACTGGCTTGCATTGATCTGATCAGGTATCAATTTTGATGAATTATAGTTACAAATGCTTTCTTTTGTGCATTATGCCTTTGATGCTGTGGTGTTGTATTTAAAAATTCATTGCCGCATCCCAGGTCACCTAGATTTCCTCCCGTTATTTTCTAAAAGCTTTACAGTTTTGCATTTTATACATGTGAGCTAATTCTTGTAAAATGTGTATCATCTGTTTCTTGGCACAGTTTTTTGCACGTGGATATACAATTATCCAATCGTCATCTGTAAAAAGATAATTTTCCTCTGTTTACTTTCTTCGCTTAAGTAAGATCTACTTGCGAAAGATCAATTGAGTGTATTCATGTTGTCTTGGCTCTCTACACTGATGCACTGATTTACTTGTTCATTCTTTTGCAAACCCAAACTATCATGAGTACTAGTGCTTGATTGCTCCTGGATCCTCCTCTTCCCAGATTCTATAGATACTCTTGACCAAGTAGTTTCAAATATTTCTGTGTCTTTGCAAATAACTCTAATATCAAGCATGTTCATACCAACGGCCCTTTCAACATCTCAATCTTCATGTACCCTCGGAACTCTTATATCATTCCTATAACATCAAGTAGCACCATTACATGTGTATGTGTGTTGTGTGCAGGCACATGTCTACCTGTATACACACATGCTGACATCCAGTGTCTTCCTCAATTGTTCCTGAAATTATTTTTGAGACCAAGTTTCTCACTGATCCAGGAGCTCATTGCACTGGATAGTCTGGCTGACCAGCAAGCCTCAGGGATCCTCTCGATTCTGCCTCCCCAGGACTGGAATTACAGGGATATGCCAGTGAACCTAATTTTACATGTGTTCTATGGATTAAAATTTAGATTCCTGTGTTTCCATACCAAGCACTTAATCCAGCCCCTCCAATAACATCTTTATCAACCAGCTGCACAGGACAAAGCTTAGAAGTCTTTCTCAATATTTTCTCTCCATCTTCTATATCAATCTGTTAACTCTATAGGCAAAATTATCTGCAATCCAGGCATATCTCTCAATCTCTCCTATAAAATACCCTAATTAAAGCTAACACAAAATCTCTCACCAAAAATCTTTATAATTTCTTACAGATAGTCGCCCTGTTTGCCTTTTTCCAATTTATTCTCTAATCTATACAATAGAAAGAAAAGCAATTTAAGATCTTGACTTGCCACAAACTACTAAAAAATGATGACAATAAAAGCCTGTTTTTTAATCTATGAAATAGATACCATCAAAGAAGGATGTAAACAAACAAAACAACTATTTATTTGACTGGAGTTATATAAAAAATGATAGAATTAGGGCTGGAGAAATGGCTCAGAGGTTAAGAAAACTGGCTGCTCTTCCAGAGGTCCTGAGTTCAATTCCCAGCACCCACATGGTGGCTCACAGCCATCTGTAATGAGATCTAGTGCCCTCTTCTGGCATGCAGGAATACATGTAGGCAGAACACTGTATACATAATAAATAAGTCTTTTTTTAAATGATAAAATTAATAAAGTCTTGATTAATTTAAAGTCTTCCCCAGAGAACTTCATATTCTAGGTGTAACCTACTATAGTTTTCATCATAAAATGCTGCTTTGGCTACAGAGTAAATTTCTTATTTGTATATTACATAACTGAATAATTCTTGTATTCTAAATGCTTTTTCTATTGCCTTAAGTATATAGGAAATAATTTTTATATGTGTTAATTAAAATCAGATCTTTTATTAGTGCAATAATTTGCATAGTTATCCAGCTTCAATACTTGCTTTTTTCTTTGTTTTTTTGGTAGTTAGAGGCCCATTTTTCTCAGCGAATATAACTTCAGAAGCTGCATTTTCTACAAATGAAAACATAGTTTGATTCTTTTTAACTGGCCATTAAATGTAAGTACAGAGGACAGAGAATTCAAATTCAAAACTAAACCAAACTTCTGGTTTCTATGTTGCCCAGATTGGTCTTAAATTCCTAGGCTTAAGCCATTCTCCTGCCTCAGTCTCCTGAGTAGCAACTCAGACTTTTGCCACTATACCTGGATCTATCAGCATTTAAAACAAATTCAGGCCTGGCCAGTGTTATTCAGACTTTTCCTGTGCTCCATATTCCCTCCTTCTGCATGACCTCTTACCTGTAATTGCATTTCTTCAAGCAGCCTTTTTAGCTTAGTACAAAGTTGCCTACCCCACCGGATAGTAGGTATGTGGATGGCTATGGAGGGTAACACTATATATACAAAGAGCTGGAGAAATGTTGCTCTCCAGCTTTAAATGTTCACAGCGACTCCCATATGTCTGCACTTTACACACACCCAGCTTCTAAACGTGGGCTTTTAGACCATTAGTCAGATCACCTTGATCCTTTCCAAAATTTCCCTGAGAAATGGCATGTGTTCTATCCTTTCTCAGTGGCATTTGCATAAAAATTTGAGGAAATACCGAAAAAAGAGGAATACAAACGCTTATATAATTCCAGAATCACCACTTGCTCTACCATCACGCTTTTAAAATAATAATTTCCACTGCAAAGCAAAACTCTTGATTTGACAAGAACTAGGTAAAACCAGGACTGTTTTTTGTGCCATGACCATTTTTTTTTTAATTTTATTTTTTGGTGCTCAGGATTTAACCTAGGGCTGTGTGCATGCTAAGCAAGCATGCTACATGCACAGGTTTCACTTTCTCTTTCATTACCTCTTTTCTTAGTGTAAGAAATAAATCATTGTGGTCTATTCCCAATGCAAGGTACGCTCAGAGTGCTGCAAAGAGTCACAAATGGGAGTCACTGCACCCCTCTCTTTCCTAATCGGTTACTGGCACCTGCTTGTCTCAGAGCTGTTGGGGTTGAAAAGTTGCAGGCAGTCTGCTATGTGGCTACACTAAAGGACTGGTAACGCTCTGGAACTTCAGCCTATGGGAAAAAGAGCAGGGATTTTTTTGTGATCAGGGACTTTAAACAATCACTGCTTTGTACCAAACTAGTACACCAGCCATTTTGCCTTTTTTCTGTATACTGGCATCTTTTTCTTTTCTTTTTTTCCCCTTTCTTCCTTTTTTCTTCATCTCCCCACCCTCCCCCCTTTTTTTGAAAATGCTTTAAAATCTTCATTATCTTTTTTGACATTTTACGTTCTTAAATTCAACTGAAACAATGAAATCCAACCCCATCCTCAATGACCTCTGTTGGATTGTTTTCATTTTTTTATTTTTGGAAATAGAGTCTTTTCTCACACAATACATCCCAATCCCAGTTTCCCCTTCCTCCACTCCTCCCAAGCATTCCTTCACTTCCTCTCCCCCACCCCCAAACCTACTCCCCCTCCATTTCCCTTCGGAAAAGATTAGGCCTCCAAGAGAAGAGCCAAATAGGACAAAACAAGATACAGTAAGACAGAGCAAAGGCCCTCATATTAAGGCTGGGCAAGGAAACCCAATTAAAAAAAAATTCCTGAGAACAGGAAAAAGAGTCAGAGATACATCTGTTCCTGTTAGAATTCCCACAAAACCACCAAGCTAACAGCCATAACATGTGCAGAGGACCTAGCGTAAACCCGAGCAGGCTCTGTGCTTGTTACTTCAGTCTCTGTGAGCTTCAGAATTGAATATCACAGTATCTTGACTGTGTTATTGCAAAGTGAGAGCTTCAAAGTTCCCTTTGAGGATAACAGTCTTTGCTCTCTTACTGCTAACCCTCTAGCATAGACAGTCCACTCCTACCTAGGACCTGTGCTTTACGGGCTCATTCTCTGTCACTGGAGCACTGTTGTTCATAACAGGAATGAACACGATCTTTTTTTTTTTTTTTTTTTTTTTTTTTTAGAGACGGGGTCTCAACTATTTAGCTCTGAGTGTCCCAGAACCTATGTACACCAGTCTGGCCTTCTCAAAACAACTTCTTAAAATGAAGATTTTACATCTAAGTTTGGTTCACATAAACATTTGAAAAATCAATTATTACTTGAAGAAGAAACACTTCTTCAATTTTGCTTCCAAAACTTGTAAGAATAGGGGCTACTGAAATGGTTAGTGGTTAAGGGCACTAGCTGCTGTTCTTTCAGGGGACCTGAGTTCGACTACCAGTACCCACATGATAGCTTATAACCATTTGCAACTCCAGTTCCAAGGAATCTGTTACTTTCTTCTGGCTTATGCAGGCACTGCATGCAGGTGGAACACACAGGAACACATGTATGCAAAGCACCATAAAAATGAAGTTAAAAAAGAAATAAAACAAAAATCTGACCTACAACTGAGCCTAATAAAGACATAAATGTCTTGTTATGTTCATTCCAATAATAAACTAAATTAACACAGTGCCAGTAATATAAGACATTTTGCGGATCCCATTATTTTTCAGTTGTTACATATATCCTCAATTGCTTTCTTCTACTACTTAACCTACAATGGCAGAGAAAATGTGTCACTTCCCACTGGGGTATGCAACAATGCCTAGTATAGAGTGTATCCAGTATATTTCTATAAGAACAAATGATGGTGTCATATGGATAATTAAGAGTCATTTAACTCCATAAATATTCTTTCTTTCTTTCCCTCGCTCTCTCTCCCTTCCTTTCTTCCTTCCTCTCTTTTTTCTTTCTTTCTTTATTTCATTTTAAATGGGGTCTGACTATGCATTCCTGGAGAGCCTGAACTTGCTGTGTAGACCTCCTGGTCCCTAACTCACAGAGATCTGCCTGCCTCTCCTTCCCGAGTGCTGAGATTAAAGCCACATCCGCCAAATCTTTATTTTTAAAATTCAACCAAACTAAAATGTTTCCTGGGGTACCTAGTTTGTTAATACATGGTAAACTGCAGCAAAAACAAATATGTAATCATGTAAATAATTAGTACCATTAATTATTACCTGATGGTAAATTCAAAGTATACTTCAGTTCTGGAGAAATATTTTGGGTCTCTAATGTCATCCCTCTGCAATTAGAAAAAATAGTGATATTTTGTAATCTCAGTAACTTTCAATTATTCTCAAATTATATTAAAAATAAAGATGCAAGAGCTCAGGCTCTAAGATCTACAACTACTAAATGGGACCTTGTGAAACTGAAAAGCTTCTTTAAAGCAAAAACACTGTCAACAGAACAAAACGACAGCCTATGGAATGGGAAAAGATCTTCACCAACCCTACATCCAATAGAGGGCTAACATCCAGAATATATAAAGAATTCAAGAAATTGGACACCATAAAAAAGGAGAAAAAAAAAAAGAAATTAGACACCAACAAACCAAATAACCCAATTAAAAATGGGATGCAGAGCTAAGCAGAGAATTTTCAACAGAGGAATACCGAATGCCAAAGAAACACTTAAAGAAATGCTCAGCATCCTTACTCAACAGGGAAATGCAAATCAAAACAATTCTAAGATTCCATCTTACACCGATCAGAATGGCTAAGATCAAAACCTCAAGTAAAAACATATGCTGCAGAGGATGTGTAGAAAGGGGAACACTCCTCCATTGCTGGTAGGTGTGCAAACTTGTACAACCACTTTGGAAATCAATCTGGCGCTTTCTCAGAAAATTGGGAATAGCACTACCTCAGGATCTAGCTATACCACTCCTGGGCATATACCCAAAAGATCCCCCACCATTCAATAAGGACATTTGCTCAACTATATTCATAGAAGCTTTATGCATAAAAGCTAGAATCTGGAAACAACCCATATATCCCTCAATGGAGGAATGGATACAGAAATTGTGGTACATTTACACAATGGAATACTACTCAGCTATTAATAAAAAGGAAATCATGAAATTTGCAGGCAAACGGATAGAACTAGAAAAGATCATTTTGAGTGAGGTAACCCCAGAAACAGAAAGACACATGTGGTACACACTCACTTATAAGCGGATATTAGCTGTATAATATAAGATAGCCATCTACAGACCTAAAGAAGCTAAACACTAAGGAGGACCCTAGGAAGGATGCTTAAATCTCATTCAGAATGGCAAACAGGATAGACACCAGAATTGGTGGAAGAGAGGAAACAGGATGGGAGCCTACTATAGAGGGTCCTCTGAAAGACTCTACCCAATAGGAGATAGAAGCAGATGCTGAGACTCATGGCCAAACTTTGGGCCGAGTGCAGGGAATCTTATAGAAGAAAAGGGGGGTAGGGTTAGAGAGGCATGGAGGAGACAGGGGCCCCACAAGAAGATCAACAAAGCTAAAGGATCTGAGCCGGGGGGTCCCGCAGAAACTGATGCACCAACTGAGAACCATTCATGGAGAGGATCTAGACCCCCTGCTCAGATATGGCCAATTGGCAGCCCAGTCTCCATGTGGACCTCTGAGTGCGGGGAGCAGGGGCTGTCTGTCATGAACTCAGTTACCTGCTTTTTGATTACTCGCCCCTGGTGATGCGGCCTTGCCAGGCCACGGGAAAAGAGGATCCAGGCAGTCCTGATGAGACTTGATACACTACGGGTATATGGCAGAGGAGGAGAACCCCCCTTTTCAGTGGACTAGGGGAAGGGGATAGGGAGGAGATGGAGGGAGGGTGGGACTGGGAAAAGTTGAGGGAGGGGGCTTCAAATGAGATATAGAATGAAATACATTGTGAAAAAATAAAAATAATTAATAAAAATAATAAAAAGAAAATCTTTCAGTGGCTCTCAATACCTTTGGGACACAATAAAAGTCCCACGCTCAAGGCTTTTGACAGTTCAGATTGTGGCCACCCTCTTGAACTTAGACCCTGCCTCTCCCACAAACACTCTCAGTTCAGCATACACGCCTGGAACCAAATGCTTCCTCCAGTAATACACATTTCCCCAGTCTTCCTCACAGCAAACCTATCACTTTCTTTTGAGGAGCCTCATCATCAAGTGATATGAGCATCATTTAATAAGAACCACCTTTACAATAATTCCTCTAGAACAGTTTTGTGGTTTTTTTTTTTTAAATAATTACGCAAATAATAATACTGTCCCTAGGGATCAACAGAGGTCAGGCTGTTCTCTTTTAAAAACTACATATAAAACTAAGTAGTCAGTGTATACTTATGGAAACGCTCAGTGTTACAGAGTAGTACACACGGTTAGAACCGCAGACAGGGTTTAAAAACAGCTTTGCTACTTTCTGGCAATTCACAACGAATAAAGATTTTTTTTTCCTTTGAGATTATCAAAAAAGTCTAAGAAATTAGAAGTCTAATTCAACTTATTAGATAATTCTTTGCAATCCACAAGTGTTGAATATTTCCCCTCCTATACTGCTTTTATTTAGTATGAATTTAGACAGGGAAAAAGCACCTTTCTATCTGCTTGCATTAAGCAGATGCAATTTTGCTTGGCAATCGTGCAAGGACTAACTAAACTATCAATTCTATAGGCTTAGAAAAGGCCAGACTAAGAGAGAACCAAAGTAGGAAAGAACAAGCTTGAAATGACTACACTCAGCTCACTTACAGTGGGTGTCCAAAGCTGTCTGTTAATAGCCAACATGAATTAATAATGCTTGACTGACAAGTTTCCAGAAAATGAAGCCCGATTCAATTTTGGAGAAGTAACTTCGATAAGATAAAAATATACCGGCTGACTTTTACAAAATGTTATTTAACATATGGGCTATTAACTCAAAACTGTGGAGTCAGCCCTGACCATTTTCTCTCATATCCCAACATTGCATCCGCCACCAAATTTTGTTAATTTTACTTTTCTCTTACCTCAGAGCTCTTCTCTGGCTAATCCTTCTACCTTACAGTGCTCTTTGCCCAGCTGCTTTCCTTTAGATAACTGCTCACATGTTGCCTTTCCAATGGCAACCTCCCCAGCACACTTTAAAGTAGCAAGCCTCAGCCCCAACACCCTAGAGCCCACTTGTTCCATCTTTCTCAGTATTACCCTTTGCCGCACAGCTTGCAGCAGCATATCGCCTGTTGTCTGTCACTCCAAAATGTAATATGCACTTGATGTGGGCAGCGGCTTTTTAATTGATTTTACTCCCTACTATATTCCAGCAATTAGAAAATTTCCAGTGCTCAGCAAACACTGAATGAACGAATTTCATCCGAGTTTGTGGAATGGCAGTCAGCACTATTATTTACAATATGGAATTTTGAAAAGCACATCAAAAGTTTTAGTTCCTTACATTTTTCTATGGCATTTCTCGTAGTTTTCTGAAGAGGAACCTACCAAAGTAGAGAAATAAATAAATAAATGATAAATAGATAAATAAATAAATAGACAGATAAATAAATAAATAAATAGATAGATAAATAAATAAATAAATAAATAAAATCCATTAGACAAAGATATGAATTGAAGGCACACCTGAAGCTAAAGTTATCCTGGATAAAAATAAATATTTCTCTTCAATATACTCAGTGACAGAACTTCTGATTTTATGTTTGACTGTTTTATGGTGTTTTTCGTATGTGTCTCTTAAATTAGGCAAAGGTATTTTGAAAATATCAAAGTAAAACATAACAAAAATATTATGATACATTGAGGGATACATAAATATTTAGATAGTTCTTTATACTCTGAATACCTTTTGAAACTATTATCTTGGGAATTTTTACAATAATCAAGTCAGTCAAACACACCAATTTATTATCCCCCATCTTACATATAAGGAAACAATGACTGATCTGTTACAAAACCCACCAACTGCCTTATTATGTATTTAGCAGAGTCAGTGAATTCCAGGTACAGTGAGAAAGCCTATCTCAAAAACTAAGGTGGGCCAGGGAGATGAATACATGGCAGACAGCTTGCCAAGCACACTCCAAGCTTCAGTCTCTAGCCCTGCAAACAAAACAACTCTAACAAAAAAGACTGAGCTGGGCTGGAAGAACCCTCAGTCAGAAAAGTACTTACAAGTATGCACAAGGACCTGAGTTCAATCCCTAGAATTCACGTTGTGGAAGGAAAGAACCAACTCCCAAAAGCTGTCCTCTGATCTTTACAAGTATGTCTTGGCACACATATATGTCCATGCACTCACATCCAGCATTAAATAATTGTAATTTTTAAAATTAGGGTGGCAGGATGGTTCACTCAGTAAAGGTGCTTGCTGCCAAGGATAACAATGTGAATTTGGTCCTCAGGAATCCTTCAGGTTGTTCTCCGAACTCTACATGTGTACTATGGCACATGCAAATGCTCATACATTGTGCATACATAAGCATGCATATACACATACAGGAACACCCGATAAATAAATAAAATGTAAACAATAAAATAAACCCACATGTACTAAAATTTTAAAAGCAACCTCAGCTCATAGGTTTAGCTTAGAAATCACTTAGGAGAGAAAGCAACCCTACTTTTCATTTTCAAACACAGATGAGGGATTTTCCAAATGGCAGAGAAAAACGAATGTAAAAACTCACTTAGAATTGCGGAAAGGTTTGCAAATTGTGGCACCTTCTCTACAGCTACCGCTTTACTGGTTTCTAGGAGAGTGGAATTCTTGTGGGACGTGTACTCTTCCAGCCAGGGATGCTCCCAATCTAAAACACAGAATATACCACGGTATGCACAGACACACATGCACAGTGGGTGCGCTAAATAAATAAATGTGATTTCAAAATTTTTAAATGACATAAAACTGTGGAAAGCCTACAAGTGACAGGTTTCTCTCTGCTCCCAAACTTGGGGTCTTACCCATTCTAGTCTATGGTAACTGAAGGCCTGGATTTGACAGAACACAAGAACAAGTTACGATAACATCAAGATAAGAATCTATGCTCTAGTCCAATTGTCCTGCTTCCTTGTCTTCTATCTAGATGTTTGCTCCAGAGGTCATTAAGCTGCAGGATGCAGCACACACGACTGGCTGACTCTCGTATGCTCTGTACTCTTCTGTTCAGTAAGCCTCACGCCAGTCTTAGTTATCACCTGGTATCAGTTTTAAGCTTTTTTGGCCTCGGCTATGGATGAATGAATGGTGCGATTCTTGTCGCATCCCTACCTGTACCTTATTCACTGTCACAACACACTATTATACCATCAGATATTCTTTGTATGTGTGGAGACTGTGGATTGAACCTATGGCCTCTCGCATGCTAGGCGAACATTCTACCATTGAGATCTATCTCCAGACATATTAGATGTTCAATGTAGCCATCATAATGATAAAATACTACACAAATCTTATTCTTCTGGTATGCCATGGCAATCTTTTGGCTTTCCTGAATCAATGTCTCTCTATCTCCTCAAATGGTTTAGTTTTTTAGTTTTTTTTTAATGTGTTTCATCTATTTAATCTTAAACATAGCAGGATCTGAGTGTCTGAAGAGAAGCCAGGAAAGGCTACTGGTGAAGCTGCAGCCAAGTTGCAGCAGAGACCTTAGCATTTTGGAGGTGCCAGTACCATGGGATGACAAACAAGGACAAGAGAAGCTGTGAAGTAGAGCTGGCCTGAGGCTGCAAGACAAACTGGGTGCTTTGTTGGTCCTATGGAGACCAGAGGATTATGAGTAAGACCCAGATATCAAGTACTTTTCTCACTGCTAAATTTTGATTTTATTTTGATTGTACCCTGATTCTTCCCTCTTGGAGTAAGAAAGTATGTATTTTTTTCCACAGAAGCCTACCGCTAGACTTTCAAATTTTAGAGAGACTTTAGAATTTTTGAGCAACTTTGAATAGTTTAGAGAGACTGCAGATATTTTAGAAAAGCTCTAAGTTTTTGAAAAAGACTTTGGATATTTTAAAGAGATTTTTTAAAATTTATTTTTACTTTTGTTTTGACATGGTGTCTCTTATGGCTGTCCTGAAACTTGCTATGTACACCACCAGGCTGGCCCCAAACTAACAGAGATCCATTTACCTCTGCCTCCTGAGTGCTAGGATTAAAGGTGTGTACCACTATGTACTGAACCTTTAACATATTTGAATTTTTTTTATTTCTTTATTTTATATATGAGTGCTCTATTTTGCATGTATATCTGCATGACAGGAGAGGGCACCAGATCTTATAGATGGTTGTGAGCTACCATGTGGTTGCTGGGAATTGAACTCAGGACCTCTGGAAGAGCAGACAGTGCTCTTAACTTCTGAGCCATCTCTCCTGCCCCATATTTGAGTTCTTAAAGACTGGGACATCTAAAAGTTAAAATGTTTTGTATTGTGATATTAGCACATTATCGTGGGTATATATGAGACAGGAAAGGTTCTAGTTGAATAGTGATGATTTTGTGTGTTATTAGGCTGATAAAGGGTAAATTATGTTGGCTAGTTTTATGGTCTATGTGTCTGTTAAAAGTGCCAGAATCATGCTGTTTTCATTATCATGGTTCTGTAGTTTAAAACTTTAAATCTCCTTGTCCAGGATTGCTTTGACTATCTGGGGTCTTTTGTGCTCCCTACAGTTTTAAGATTGTTTTGTTGTGAGGCTGGGGAGATGGCTTAGTTGGTAAAGTGCTTGCTGAGGACCTGATTTTGATCCCAGCTTCCACATAAAAAGCTGGGCATGGCAGCATGATACCTCCAATTCCAGTGCTGTGGAGGTAGAAACAGGAAGAACCCTGGTGCTTGCTGGCCAGCCAGCCTAATAAACTGGTGATCTCCAGCTTCAGTGTGATACCTATCTAAAAAGATAAGATGCAGAGTGGCTGAGGAAACAATCACACACACACACACACACACACACACACACACACACACACGCACACACACACACAATTATCTTTTCTATTTCTGGGAATAATGGAATTGGAATTTTGATTGGTGTTGCAATGAATCTTCATACTGCTTTTGATAAGATGAACACTTAAAAAATATTAATTCTTCCAATCCATAGACATGAGAGGTCTTACCTTCTGGTGACTTCCTTAGTTTCTTTTTCCAGTGTATTAATGTTTTCATTGTAAAGGTCTTTCATTTTCTTGGTTAGGTTTATCCCAAGGCATTTTATTTTTAGGACAGATAGTGGGAATGGGATTTCTTCCTGGATTTCTTTCTCAGTATGTTTGTCTTTGGTATATGGCGAGATAACTGAGGTATTTTTAATGTTAATTTTGTATCCTGGCACTTTACTGAAAATGTTTATCAGCTCTAAGAATTTTCTAGCAGAATTTTTAGGGTCTTTTACCTATGGAACCATATCATCTGCAAATGAGGATAATTGGATTTCTTCCTTCTCTAGTTATATTCCATTTATTTTATTTTCTTGTATACTTCTCTAGCTAGGATTTCAAGCAATATATATAATAGGAGTGAAGAAACTGGACACTGTCCCATTCTTGATTAGTGGACATTAAGTTTTTTTCTTCCATTGAACATGACATCAATTATAAGTTTGTCATATGTACTTTCTATTATGTGTAATGGTTAGATTGGGTAGTTCTGCTCTAGAGGACAGATCTGAAAACCAATGGAAACAGCTCTGTGTAGTTTTCAAGTTACCTACAGTTGATTTTATTTTTACCTATCATTCTTGGATCCTAGAGCACTAACATAAATTATTCAGATATATGTTTTCATGACTATAAAAGCACAATTAATCATATTTCCAATCCTTCCTTATGTTTGTTCACTGATAACCTGTTACCCAAAGCAAGACACACAGCTCATCCAAAGCCAAAGAATAGAAAACTACCACAGAGGATTGAGTAATTTAGATCAACATATCAAAATTTCACTGCATCTGTTATTAACAGATCCTAAGTCATCTAATCTATAATCTCTCTGACTGAAAGCATCCCAAAAGGCAAGTCTTCAGAGAATCCCAGCATCTGGAATGTCAAGACAGGTGAATTCAAGTTCAGTTTAAGGCCAGCCTCGGCCACACAGCAAGGTCCTGTCTCTAAAGAGGTTCCCTCTGAGTAAAAAGAAACAGTCACCATATATTCCATTTAAAAAATTATATCAACGTATGTGTAACTGTACAAACTAATGGTCTCACTGTGACACGTTCATACTTGCACGTGTTGAGCTGCCATCATGCTTCCCTCCCTTCTAGTTATTTTCCCTTCCCTCTCTCCCTCCTTCACTAGGCCTCCCTTGCTCTAGAGTCTTCTCTTATTCTTTCAAGTCACTTTAATATTTTGTTTCAACATATGAGAGAAAATATACTTGTCTTTTTGTGCTTGGCTTAGGGTTCATGCTTTCTTCTTTTTAATTCCCTATGTCTTTATGAGTTTGTTATTGAAAAGAAAAAGGTACTTCCTGTTGTTGCCGGAAGCTGTAGAGAGAAGCCTATGATGTCTTCCAGCATCAATCAAAGGCTCCATTTGTAATAAGTAAAAATGTAAATAACTGTGAAGAAAATTCAAGCAGGGACTTGGCCAATTTAACATCTCCTATGAACTGAAAAGCAGAAAAACTACAGGAAGTAAAAGAAAACAAACAGAAGTACACCAAGACTGCATATATGTTTAGAGAACTGATACACGTGTCTTCTCTGTGTGAAAATGTATTCTCTGAAAGGTTTATAGACAAAGACACAGTTTTACAGTAGATCCAGTGAAGAAGGAAATTATACTCTCACCCAAACAGTCTGACCCTCTGAGCAGCTCAGGAGATGGGTAGCTGCCAACACTCTCATCAGTGCTCTTTGTGAATGACTCTGTGTCTGAACAACTCAAGAGACAACTGGAAGCATCCGGCTCCAGAGTTAGTCCTGGAAAGCAAAGTGAAACAAAAGAATGTTGAACTGAATAGAGAACAGAATTGAAATCCCAAGAACGTACATCTGTAGATGTGCACATGTAGCTATTCCAAGAATGGAACACCGACTTCACACACAATTACAGTCATAATATCATCAATAATTTGGATTTGAATCTTAGACAAATAGATGCTTTGATATTAATAAATGCATTATAATCCTTTTTGACTGTTTCCCCAAGTTTTGCTTTTATGGCCTACTCCTTATTCATTTCAGCTGCAATCCTAGCCCAAAAAACTCAATTCTATATATAAGCAATTTACTAGGTAAGAAGAAAAAAAGGATGAATCCAGTTATTCCATCTAAAAAACAATCACAGACAAAAAATAAAAATAAAAACAAAACAAAACACAGAATGAAAAACACAGGCAAAAGACTGAACAGACATCCCAGAAATAAACTCACACATACGTGCAAAACCAGCTTTATAAAGACATGTAAGCAATTTAATGAAGAGAAGATTGTCTTTTAAACAAATTGTGTTAGAATCACTCTGAACGTAGTTTGAGTGTGTTTGGGTATGTGACTTTGCAGTAGAATACTTGCCTAGCCTGTGCAAAAGCCTAGGTTCAATCCCTGTCACAAACCCTTCATCCCCAATAACAAAACCCAAAGGAAAAAAATTGAACTGAAGAGGTGGATCAGCAGTTTAAAATACTTTTTTTTTTCTTGCAGAGAACCTGGATTTGGTTCCTAGCACCTGTATAGCAACCTAAAAAAAGTCTGGAATTCCATTTCTCCATTTCCAGGGGATCTAAGGCATTCTCCCGGCCTCTTTGGGCACCAGGCATACAGGTGGTACATATACATACATGCAGACACATAAATACAATACAATACAGACACATAAATATAAATTTTAAAAAAACCTTTATATTTATACCATGCGCTGAGAAACTAACTTTAAGGTAGGCATGTAGCCCTAACTACTCAGAAGACTGAGGCAGGGAAATCTATCTGTGCCGTAGAATGAATTTAAGGCCAGCCTGGGAAACTTAGCGAGACATTTCCTTAAAATAAAAAGTATAAAAGAGATATGGGGGAAAGACATGCAAAAACAGCATTATAAATGGAAGAGCTATACACTGTGTGGGAATCAGTGCTGGTTAAGGACTCAGACACGTCTTTACCTGGACTGAGACTACAGAGAAAGCCAATCCTTAGAGAAACTCCAACTCTTCTACCAGGAACAACAGAACAATTTAGCACTATTACACACACACACACACACACACCCCCCACTACCCTGAGAACCACGTGAACACAGGGAGCTGACCGGATACAAACTTGGGGACACATGTGTACTTAGGCAAAGACTACATATAGAACACTGGTGGAAAGAAGCCTAAGCTCTGATAATATCCAATTACCTGTCCTCGTTCCTACTATGTTTCCCTTTCCCACTTCCTATTTGTTTGTTTGTTTGTTTGTTTGAGACAGAAACTTACTATGCAGCCTGCTATGGACCTCACTATGTAGACTAGACTGGCCTGAAACTTACAAAGATCCTCCCACTTCTGCCTTCTGAGTTTTGGGATTAAAGGTGGTGGACTAAATCTAACATGCCTGGCTTCTTTGTACTTTTCATTATTAATATTTTTAACATTAATAAACTTCAAGTTGGAGGCTGGAGTGATGGCTCAGAGGTTAAGAATACTGGCTGACTCTGGAAATCAATCTGGCACTTCTTCAGACAACTAGGAATAATGCTTCCTCAAGATCCAGCTATACCACTCCTAGGCATATACCCAGAAGAGGCTCAAGTACACAAAAAGGACATTCGCTCAACCTTGTTTGTAGCAGCTTTATTTGTAATAGCCAGAACCTGGAAACAACCCAGATGTCCCTCAGTGGAGGAAGAGATACAGAAATTGTGGTACATCTACACAATGGAATATTACTCAGAAATAAAACACAAGGATATGAAATTTGCAGGTAAATGGTGGGAACTGGAAAAAAATCATCCTGAGTGAGCTATCTCAGAAGCAGAAAGACACAGTATATACTCACTCATATAGACATATAGTATAGGATAAACCTACTAAAATCTGTACATCTAAAGAAACTAATCAAGAGGGAGGACTCTTGCTAAAATGCTCAATCCCTATCCAGAAAGGCAAAGAGGTTAGACATCAGAAGAAGGAGAAAAGAGGGAACAAGTCAGGAGCCTGCCACAGAGGACCTCTGAAAGGCTCTTCCCTGCAGACTATCAAAGCAGATGCTAACTAAGACTTATGGCCAACCTTTGGGCAGAGTGCAGGGAATCTTAGGAAAGAAGTGGGAAACAGTAAGATCTGGAGATGACAGGAACTCCACAAGGAGAGCAACAGAACCAAAAAAATCTGAGCACAGGGGTCTTTCCTGAGAGTGATACTCTAACCAAGGACCATGCATGGAGATAACCTAGGACCCCTGCACAGATGTAGCCCATGGCAGTTCAGTGTCCAAGTGGGTTCCATAGTAATAGGAACAAGGACTGTCTCTGACCTGAACTGATTGTCCTGCTCTTTAATCACCTCCCCCTGAGGAGGGTGCAGCCTTACCAGGCCACAGAAGAAGACAATGCAGCCACTCCTGATGAGACCTAATAGACTAGGATCAGAAGGAAGGAAAAGAAGACCTCCCCTATCAGTGGACTTGGGGAGGGGCATGTGTGCAGAGGGGGGAGGAAGGGAGAGATTGGGATGAGAAGGGGGAGGGAACCACAGGGGGGAATACAAAGTGAATAAAGTGTAATTAATAAAAACAAAAACAAAACAAAAAAGAATATGAAACAGAAAAAAAAGAATACTGGCTGTTCTTCCAGATGTCCTGAGTTCAATTCCCAGCAACTACATGATGGCTCACAACCATCTATAATGAGATCTGGTGCCCTCTTCTGGTGTGCAGGTATACATACAGACAGAACATTGTATACATAATAAACAAATCTTTAAAAAAAAATCTTCAAATTACTTGCTTATTCTATCAGTCTTTTAGCTTCTTGATGAGAAGGTACACAAAGTACCCAATTGTCTATTTTTATTGCATTTTAATATCTGGTTTGTTGTCAAATCATTTTTTCTGTTACAGTTGTCTGTTTTTCCTCCTTCAATGATAGTGAGTGGAGAATCTTGTGAACCCAAGAAAACACTACCCACAAAAAGAGCCTCAGGAAAAAGAACAATGACTATGGAAAAAAAAAAAAAAGCACTGGAAAGACTCGTCAGTTGCATCAGATACACAAACAACATAGAAACGCATACAAAGTTAACAAGCCAATACAACACTGCCAAAGCTCAGAATTCTCCAATAACTGACACCAAAGCTAGTGAACTAGGTAGAATGCTAAACAAATAACTCAAAAGCCCAATGTGTAAATTGTTTAACACATGCAAAGACTATTTAAACAAGTAGATGAATGAAGCAAGGAAATCAAGTCAGTGCCTAGCTAAAGAAAGCCAGCAATGCGGATGAGAAATTCAGTAACATCAAGGAGAAACTCGGCAAAAAAACAAAACAAAACAAAACAAAACAAACCGAAATTCTGAAGAACAAAACAGAAATGTTGAAGAGTTAAATATTCATTAAATTAAAAACACAGTGAAGAGCATCACCAATAGATGAGATCAAGCTAAAGTCATCAGAGAAAAGGGAGCCTCAATTGAGAAAATGCCCCATAAGATCAGGCGGTAGGCAAACCTGTAGGGTATTTTCATTAGTGATTGATGTAGGAGGACCTAGTCCATTTGTGGGTGGTGCTAGCCCTGGACTGGTGACCCTGGGTCTTATAAGAAAATAGGCTGAGCAAACCATGGGGAGTAAGCCAGTAAGCAGCACCCCTTCATGGCCTCTGCATAAAGAGAGGCCTCCAGCTTGAGTTCCTGTCCTGACTTCTTTCAATGATGAACAGGGATGTGGACACATAAGCCTAATAAACCCTTTTGTCTCCAGCTTGCTTTGGTCATGGTGTTCCATCACAACAGCAACCCTAACTAGGACAGTCATCTTCATTTACACCAGCGTATTCTCTCAAAAGCCAAGTATTTAAAATCAACAGTGTTCTCATCTTTGAAACCAACGACCAGTGTATAAACAAGATCCAACAAGTTATATGGTGACTACAACTGTCTTGAAAATCTACAAACCCAGTTTCCACGGAATCTGCTGTCAAGCTTGATAGTTTTCAAAAGGGTTCATGAAGCAAAACTTCAGATTTTCTCTTATACTCTCTCATCTCAGATCAAGATGCACTAAAATGCGTCAGGAGGAGGCACCACTGCATTTTTGTGTCGTCCTGGGCCAAAGCTTGGTTCCACACTAGCAGGTCCATTCCTCAAGGCATGATGCAGCCCTGAGTCGCAGGGTGATGATTCCTGCCTCTGTCAGCTCTACCTGCCTCCTGCCAGGGCTTACCTGTCCAGGTCCTGGTGTCCAGTCTTTCCTTCCATGCCTCCTCCAGCACTGGCTACCAGCAAGACCTGCAGTAAGATCTTTGCACATCTGTTTCCTCTGCGTGGATTTCTCTTTACTATCTTTTGGCACAGCTGATTTTTACTCACCTTCAGATCTCAATTTGGCTGCCATCCTTACATGGGAGCATTGCCTAATATTTCTAGCTAAGCGTAATTAATTACATTCAAGTCATTCTCTTTTATAAAGTCACAACTATAATTTACATTGACTGGTGTGAACATGGAGACACTGAGAAAGAGGTCTAGAGCACACTCAGAAGGGCTCATGTCAGACTAGAAGAAAGACAGCTTCTCTTCTACTGAAATGAGAAGTCAAGAGATACAAATGAGTGCACATGTTTGAAGGAGAGACGAAAGGCTGTTATCTGTTAGTCTTACCTGAAACCAGTTCACTACTTGATGAACAACTGTCAGTCTTGTAGTCATTAGTCACTGACTCCTATGTAGAATAATAATTAAAGATACAGTACAAATTATTAGATATTTTAATTTGATTTTTTTAACATTTAATTTGGTTTGAAAAATGAATGTCAACTTTGTATGTTAATTTTATAGATAGATTATTTCTGAATATTGATCACAGATAATCTGCTATTTGATATTAAATCTAAAAATAATGTCCTGGAAATAAGTTTGTAGACCAGGCTGGCCTTGAACTCAAAGAGATCCACCTGCCCCTGCCTTCCTAGTGCTGAGATTAAAGTTGTGTAATATCACTACAGAGCTAAAGGTGAATATTTTTCTGATCACCTAGGAAGGAAGGAAGAAAAGAAGGAAGGAAGGAAGGAAGGAAGGAAGGAAGGAAGGAAAGAAGGAAGGAAGAAAGGGCTTTTCCCCACCTTAAAAAAAAGAGACAGAGAGAGAAATACATCCAAAATAATACCATTAAAGACTCACAAGTCAATGAAAATATTTGCTATGTGTGTAAAACTATCTTCAATATGTAATGAACAGATACTTAAAAACAGAAGAAATACAAATGGGCAATACTGAGAAAAAAGTACTGGCTTCATTAGTGCTCAAAGAAATGGAAAATAAAATACCACACTGCTTTTCATCTACCATCATTTTGAGTAAGAGTGTACCAGTTTGCCAACAGGAATCACAGAATGCCAAGCACATCTACCCTTTGGCCTACTGCAAAGTATTTGTCTTAGAGTATAATCTGTGACGCACACAGTTCTGTAGAAGTAAGTCTATCGATGCCTACAAAAGTAAAAACCTTGGAAACTCAGTCTCTCAATCTCCAGAAAATAGTCATATGTACTTTGGTAGATGTTAGATTAAACTACTATGAAGACACTAAAATATAAATACTTTAAAGACTTTAACAACAATGTAATATATAAGTTGTAAAATGTTTTTAAAGTACAGGGAAAAGGCAACAGAAAGAAATACACAGCAATTTGAAACAAATTTTATATACTATTTTGAATACTCATTTCATTTATACAGAATACTTCACCATATACTATTAAAACATAATGCAAAAATCTTTTTAACAATGTACATTTCCTAAACACAGAATTGGTAGGCTGAGACAGAAGGATTCTGAGTTTAAGACTAGCCAGAGAGAGCCTGTCTCAAAAGTTACAGACTCCAATAAGAGAATTACTAGAATGCTCTGTAGCATATAGAACTCTTATTGATCAATCATGTTTCTAATTGCTAATGGGCAAAGTCAATTGGAAAATGGGAAAGCGGCATCAAAATATTAAGATTTTGAAACCGCCAAACAGAACATTAACCTGTAACATTTCCTCAATACTAACTAAAAGATGTGAAAAAGATGGAAATGTGTAATTATGAACCTTCTTACTTGAATAAGAAACTCAAGGGCTCCCTAGGTAAAGACACACACACACACACACACACACACACACACACACACACACACTAATGCAATAAGAATACTAGCCATTAACAAAGAGAACTTTATTCTTTTATCTGGAGGTGCATAGCTACTGCCTGTCTCTACCCTAAGTGTATGTAAGAAGCATAGGAGAAACATACATACACTCAGTGGGGTTATCTTTTCATCTGGGGTCTCTTTGCCAGGGCTGTTTTCTTGCAGGCTTTCCCCTCCGGTAACACTTACCCGACTGCAAACAAACAAAACAATTCAGTTTACACCATCTGGATTTGACTGTCTTTTTTGTAGCTTACAATCTGAAAGTTTGCCAGGAGTGGTGGCACACACCTTTAATCTCAGCACTCAGGAGGCAGAGGCAGGCAGATCTCTGTGAGTTCAAGGCCAGCCTGGCCTACAAAGTGAATTCCAGGATAGTCAGGGCCACACAGAGAAACCCTGTCTTGAAAAATCTGAAAGTTACCTTAAGGGAATCTTGGAGAAGTGACTTCAAGATTTGCATCAAAAGCCAAATGATACTATTACAAACGCTTCCTTAGAGGTGCTGCCTCATTTTTAGTTAACTTGGCAAGCCTTTCACTAATAAAATGAATCTGGCTGGCCGAGGACTAGCTCAGTTGGTAGAGTGCCTTAAATCCAAGCCTATTAGCACAAGTCTGTAATCCCAGATTGGAAGTGAAGGCATGAAAATCTATTAATGTCAGCCTCCACTGCATAGGGAATTTGAGGCCAGCCTGGTCTATATGAGGTCCTGTGATTCATAAATATATATATATATACACACACACACACACACACACACACACACACAACACAGGTATGCGTTATCTGTATATGTGTATATAACATGACACACAGATATGTGAGAAAAAGACATATACTAGAATAAATGTGTGTGTGTGTCCCCCATATTTCTGGGTTTGTGTTTCATTTTCTCCTTTGATACCTCGAATGAGAGGTTACTAAGCAGAAACAAAACTTAAAACTTGTTGAGAAAGCCAAGTTGCTCAGAGTTGTTGCCCTGGGCTTACCCACCTTGGCAGCTGCAGGCTGCTAGCTCTGGGCCTGCTCCATTCCTCTTTCTCTGTAATCTTCCGCAATCCCTGCTCTTTGCCCTTTTCCTTCAGACCTGTGAGAGGGTGCCTGGTTTCAGAGGGCCTACTCGTGCCCCCCGCTCCCCCACCTCAGCCCCTGTCGAGGCCCACCCGCCACCCAGACCTGCTGAGCGTCGACCTGGCAGGGCCTCTGTCTTCGCAGGGAGGGCTAGATCAGGCTTCGGGGTGAGGTTAAGCCTCTCACCAGCCCTCTTCTTACGGCTATACACCCGTTGAGGCCACATGAGCATCCCACCACAGCCCGAGGGCCCTGCATGCCCCATCTTATCCATCGCCCTCCTGAGGAACCGGCCACTCACAGACCGACGCCTGCTGTGGCGCCCTCAGTCCCGCTTTTTATAGGCGCGAGGGCTTCTGGGAAGATGGTGGCCTGCTTTGGCCACGCCCCATTGCGGACAAGCGGGGCCTCGGCTCTGTGACTTACTGAAGACAACCAGCAGATTTCTTAGAGATGCCTCCACCCGATAAACGTATTGAGCAGGCGGCAATCATCTTTTTATTCTAGGAGAAAAAAAAAAAGAAAAAAGAAGAAAGCAGCATTTGACAGCGCTGTGTGTTAGGAAGAGAGCGAAGGTTTTCTGTGACACCAACATTGTGCGTGTGCGTATGCAAACAAGTTATGCATGTGTATGTGTGGAGGCCAGCGCCCAACACCACTAGACTTTCTTGACCTCCAGCTGTTTCTGTCTGTTTTGTTTCGAGATGCAGTCTGTTAGTGAACTCGGAGCTCACTGATGTGGCTAGGTTACCTGGCTGGCGCACTCCAGGCTTCTTGTCTCTGCCTCTCTAGCATGATGCTTACAGAAACACACTTCAATGCTTTTGTTTGTTTGGTTGGTTGGTTGGTGGGTTTTGTTATTTTCTTCCTTAGGTTTCTCTGTGTAGCCTTGGCTGTCCTGGATTTGTTTTGTAGTCCAACCTGGCCTCGAACTCACAACGAGATCCGCCTGCTTCTGCCTCCCTGAGTGCTGAGATTAAAGGCCGGCAACACCACACCAGCTCCGTGTGAGGATTTTTTGTTTTTTGTTTTTGTTTTTTAATTACAGTTTATTCACTTTATATCCCACCTGTAGATCCTTCCCTTCTCCCCTCCCAACCCCATTGCTCTCTCCCTTTTCTCCTATGCCCCTTCCCCAGTCCACTGATAGGGGAGGTCCTCCTCCCCTTCCATCTGACCCTAGTCATCAGGTCTCATCAGGACTGGCTGCACTGTCTTCCTCTGCTTGGTAAGGCTGCTCCCCTCTCAGGGGGAGGTGATCAAAGCGCCAGCCCCTGGGTTCATGTCAGAGACAGTCCCTGTTTCCATTACTAGGATCAAAGTAGATGCTGAGACTCAGTCAAACGTTGGGCAGAGTGCAGGGAATCTCATGAAAGAAGGGGGAGATGAAAGACCTGGAGAGGACAGGAGCTCCACAAGGAGAGCAACAGAACCAAGAAATCTGGCGCAGGGGTCTTTTCTGAGACTGATACTCCAAACAAGGACCATGCATGGAGATAACCATGTGAGCTTTTAAAAGTAGATACGGGGTCCTCATGCTCATGTGGAAATCACTTTACCGACTGAGTCGTCTCTCGTCCCGAGACTCCAGTATTATGTACCTGAATACAATTTTCATAATAAAATTATACTGAAATCTACAATTGAAAATCAGCTCATAGGAACATTTGTGGTGGCCCATTACTCATCAGAATATAACTTTGTAAAGAACAGAGGGCTCTTTACGGACATCTTGCCTGCTTAGATGTATTGGTGCTTTGAGTCACTGACTTAGCGTTGTCTGAGCGTCTTAGGCACTGTGTCCTGGAAACACGGTAAATGACGAAGTGCCCTTCAGCCAGGGTTCTCACACTCCTGCTGCGCTCTGAGCAATAATCACAGTCCAACATTCTTTACTGAGTCATACCCATAATATGCAAGCAGGCAGTTTCTCACTCATACAGCGAGTCTCCTGGCTCCTCTGACTGCTTCGTGGGACTTTTGTGAAAACAAAACTGATAACAGACATAAGGGCTGGGGAGTGCGTGTGATGGGGCGAGTGATGTGAAAGTCACAGAGAAGCAATAAAAATGTTATTTAAAAAAAAAAAGAATGAAAAAGGGGTAGAGTGACTTTGTCAAATTGGATCAGGGAATCTAAAGACAGGTGGCTGTTTTATTCCCAATGTATAGTTTGGGGGGGGGGGAGTTTCCTGGTGTAATATATTCCCTGGTGCATGAGGAAGGAAAATCACAGTGAAACTCAACTCAGAATGAGTGTCATTTCTTCCAAGAAGATGGGCTCCAGAGATAAGCTACCTGTATCCTCTTAACGGCCTAAGGATCTGGCCCGGTCTCAGTCATACAGAGACAGGTCATTTTGGGCTATTAGCCACCTCTGGTTTTGGTTGTAGGAACTTGATATGGCCTGGCCCAACAGCTAAAGCAGACCACCAGGCTGTTAATCACCTCCAATCCCAGCTTTCCCACTGGAAAGACAATCCCGTGTGTTTAACATTCCTAGTTTCTCTGGAGATCTGTGGGTGCAAGGACCTTTGTGATATGCTCCCAATAGTGATCCTGTGCCCTAAATGTTTGTTTGTTTGTTTGTTTGTTTGTTTGAGACAATGTCTTACTATGTAGTCAAAGGCTCACCTGGAACTCAGTATATAGACCACCTGCCTCTACTTCCTCAGTGCTGAGAATCAAGGTATGAACAATCATGCCCAACTCCCTGAAGCTTCTTCCCACCCCACCCCCCAAATACAGTTTCATATACTCCAGGCGAATATTTAGATGCTAATTAGCCAAGAATGACCATAACCTTTTAATCTTTCTGCTTCTACCTCCTAAGTGCTGGAATTAATGGCACGTGCCCAGTGCTCAGTTATACGTGATGTGGAAATCAAACTCAGAGCTCGGTACATTCATACACACAAAATAAATTTTTTTTTAAAGTTACCCTCTCACCTCCACATGCTGTGCACATAGGCAGCTCAAACACACATCCTGCAGCTGAGGAAACCATGTCCTAGGGAAACTCGTGAAGGCAGTCGGTTGTCATAGGTGGCATAGCTGCCTTAGCATTTGTCTGGTAGGCTGGTCATGCTTCCATCCCTGCTAACAGGGACAGGAAAGAGGTAAGAGGAGTAAGGAGAGGAGCTCAAAGCCCTTAGCAGTAAAGAAGGGAGGAGACTTGAGACAGAAGTGTTCCGTTTACAACTTCACCTAGAACCAGCCTATAAAAAGGACTAGAGAGATGGTTCAGTGGTTAGGAACATTGGATGCCCTTCCAGAATATCAGGGTTTGATTTCCAGCACACGGTCTGTAAGTATAGTTTCAGGGGAATGTGACGCCCTCTTTTGACCTCTTTGGGCACTGCACACAGTTGGTGCACAAACTTACATGCAGACAAAACACCGTATACATAGAATAGAAATGAAGCAATTTTTAAGGGAAAAGAAACAAGTGCCACACAAGAAAGTGAGGTAGGCATAGCTCACCTCAGACATCTTTCTTCTTCATCTCCAAATGCAAATAGTCTATGAAAGTATTCCCACACAAGGCTTAACTTGAACCTTTTTCCACTCGCCCATTTTACTGCTCCTCTCTAGACCCAGAACTCCACTGGCCGTGTTCAAGCTCAACATACGATGAGTTAGACTAGATTTGAGGCAGTCGCTGAGGCATGAGCTTCAATAGGGAAACAAGTTTCAAATGTTGAAGAGATTTCCGAAGAAAGCTCCCCTCCCCTGCCTTTTAAACAACCAGCCTGCGGGGTTTGAGGTTCTTGAAACCCGAAGACAATCTGACTGAACAGTGTGTGTGTGTGTGTGTGTGTGTGTGTGTGTGTGTGTGTGTGTGTGTTTGGTAAAGTGATCCACCTCGAAGCTTTGCTTACACTGCTATCCATGGGTGTCAGGGACCCAACTGAATGTTGGTTTAGACACGCTTAGATGACAGCGATGGAAGAAATAACAAAGATGGATAAAAATAGCTTGAGACATTGCAGTCTCGAGGCAGTGAAACGTATAAGGAGGGCCAAGGGGATTTTCCTTTGATAGATACTTCTTGAGCACTGAAGCAACTGTCCTAGTGGGGATGGAGCCGAGAGAACATCAACCAATATAGCACTTGGAAAGCTTCTAAGCTTGGAACTCACTTTTTGTTTTCTTTTCTTTAAATACACACATGTATGTACCTGGGTGAGTTTTCTGTGTACCATGTGCATGCAGGAACTGTGGCATCAGATCCCCTGGAACTGGAGTGGTAAACACTGGAGTTGAAAGCCTCAATGTGGGTACTAGACACCAAACCCCAGTCCTCTGGAAAAGTACTAAGTACTCTTAACCACTGAGTTATCTCCCCAAGCCCTGAAGCTGAGTTTTTCAAAGAAAAATGGCAGAAGTTGGGGAAAAAAAAAAAAAAAAAAGGTGTGGCATACAGACAGAGGGAGAGCAATTGGTATGATTGGAGCCAAGGCTCCATGAGGAAGTGGCAGGAGAAGACAAGACACGCTAGTCTTTGTGTTCTGAACCGGGGAGTCAGAGCTTTGTTCTGGAAACCATGGGAGGGATCCAAAGAAACAATGAGGAAGAAAGCGGTGTGGCTCGGGTTTTCAATTTAGAAAGTTGCCATGGCTGAAGTCTGGGAAAATGGAGTGGGACCATGAAGAAACGCTCTGCACTATTTCAAACCAACATCGAGGGAGGCTCAAACTATGCAGATAGCTGTGAGACTGGGGAGGAACAGATAAACTTCCTGAAGGCAGGGATCAGCACACAGTCAATGTGGCAGAGCGCACCATTTTAAAAACGGTGTCTTTTAGTTTAAAGTTGATTAGAAGGCATTGCGGAAATGCTAAAGGCAGTCAGCATGATGGAAAATTTGAACAGTTATTTGTTCTTTATATAAACCCAGGGCGTATTTGATGACAGAAGGGGTTCCAGTAAAGGATTGCACGAAGGTAAGCCTCTGGGTGCGCTTAAGTTGTCAACAGTTAATCCTGTCTAACTACTTAAAGTCTGGGAACCATTACAGGGGATGTAGTCTTGATAAGCTGATGCTAAGGCTTCATCCTTCACCATATGCACCATGACTGAGGATTATTAAACGCATCCCCATGAGGGAGTTACATCAATGCAAATGCATGAAGTGGAAAGAAATTATAAACAACTTTGAGAAATAAAAATACCTTTATTTTTTTACAAAAGTTTTCATTAAGTGCATTTTGTATTTGATGTTCATGCTGTTATAACAAAGCAAATGAAAATATAATTACAGTTAAGATACATTTATGCATATTCAAAAAGTAATAGTTTGATTCCTCGATTTTCAAAAATTGAAAGTAGAATCAATTCTTCAAAAATAGCCATTTCCCCCTCCCCATGCAATCATCGCAATGATTTAACAAGGAAAAGTAAAATGAGCAGTCAGGAGAATTCTTACATGGCATTATTACCTCGTGAAAACCCTTGGTGTTCGGGACTAGGTTTAGAAATGCTTGCTTACATTTTCAAGTATGCATCACCTCCGCAGGACAACCATTACTATGTTCTCAATGAGGTGCTCACTCGGGGACTGGTCCTCGATGGGTGCTGATCTCATTCTCATGGGATTATTTGTAGATTCACAGGCAAGGTTATGTAGCATACTTAAGAGAGAACCTAAGACTATCAGGATCCTTTTTTTTTTTTTCTCCTCATTGTAGTGCTTTCTTAAAATAAAAACTATCAAGAAGATACAGCCAACTTGTAATTTACCAAATTTACATACAATTGTTCATTCTTTTGTCCTGAGGTATTAAGCAAATTTTTAAGTAGTCTATTTTCATGCAAAAATATAATCTCCCATTCTTTACATTCATTTTCTAGTATTTTGTATTTTAAATAACTGTATCACACTTGTGCTTCATACATGTGAAAAATAAAGAACAATTAATTTATTATGGCAGAAAAAATAATGATCATTTTTTTTCAAGAGCAACACAATCAAATTCTAAGTGGGATTTCAAATTTATCTGATTGTAAAACCCTCAGTGGAGGTTTTTTTTGCCCTCCCCCCTTCAGGCTTGTGACGAGACAGCATATGGCTACTCCCTGGACCTCTGAGTTTGAGATCTTAATACATGGAGCTAGGCCTGAATCCCACATCTGGCCCATCTTCTCTGCCATCTGAAGAACAAGCCTCACTATCATGTATAAGGACATGCTTTGTGGCAAGTGGGGGAAATGTATAGATCTGTCTTACAGCATTTACTCCATCAGGATTGATTTGTAAAAAAATGTGAGAATTAGTAACACATTTGAATGACAAATAGTTAAAGATGCCAAACATTTGAGAACATATTTATGATTGAGGAACCAAGTCTCCGTGGCTTTTAGGCTTTAAACAATATATGATGCCACTTGGATCATGACAGTCTTAAGTACTTAGCCTTTTTCCTATGTTGGTTAAAGAGAAACACAAATTTATTATTATTATTATTTTTATCCCCTGAGATAAGATTGGGAAATCTGAAGCAAGAGGGATTTTTTTTTTCACTGATACATGCTGTTTCATTTCTTTCTTGTTACAAAATTAAGTAGTGCTCCACAGAGGAGAAAGAGGGCATGAGATGCATTTAAGGCCCACTGTTTACTTTCTAAGCACATTTGCATTCTCCCATGAAGTGTAATGGTTTCCACGCAGACTGGGAAGTTCAACAGAACCACAGAATCTTTTGAGAAACAAAAATAAACAAATTGTCTATAATTAATTACACCTAAATACAGTGAGAAATAAACAGAATAGGATAATTTTTAAAAATCATTTGCTTAAATTGCGTTGTTCAAAATTCTGTTGGAGTCAAAGTCAACTATGAGGTTTTAGTCAAGTGGAAGGACAATGGAAACCAGCTTTTAAAATCTGAAATGTAAAACCCTTGCTCTTAAAGTAAAATGGGTATCTAAATCAGGTAATGATCTTCAATTTTAGTTGGTTGAATATCTAGAGAACCAGTGATCTTCAGGTGATTTTCAAGGTGATCTCGAATGTGTTATCTGTCTAGCCAGAAATGTACTTAAAAATCTAAGACACACAGGGCTGGGAGTGGAGATCAGCCGTGCAGCACTTGTCTAGCATGTGCAAGGCCCTGGTTTTGCTTCTCCACACTGTGAAAGAAATTTACGTGCAAAGGATTACTCATTTAGTCAGAGTCAAATTTATAGGTGCAACAGTGAGTCTTCAAAGAAATGATGCCCAAGGAATGTGCTTAAAACAAAACCAACAAGAACAAAGCTACCTGAATGACTACATCAATCGAAGCTGAAATGCGTGTGCAGCCAGTGGTGCAGAGCATCCAACAGGCCTGCACAGTGATACCAAGCTCTTACAGATAGTGTTCACTCACATACAGGCTGAGACCACCCACGGGCCTGCATGCTGATGCAGGTTCTAACTGAACATTCACTGACAAGCAAGTTGGGACCATCCAGGGCTAAACAGCTCTTGTCCTGCCACACTGACCATAGATGTATTTGGAAAGATCACGTGGACTGCATGATTTCTCCATGTACTTTCAGGGTCCTGTTCCCACAGAAGAGACACTTCCCTAAGGAGCCTTGCCCTCCTCAAGGGAGCATGTGATAGTGCTGACCTGAACTGCCCTGTCCGTGGTATCGAGGCCATTTGTGACTTCAGGATGCTTCCAAACATATGATACAATTAAGGTTTTGTGGTCAATTAGGAGCATCTAGAAATTCTAAGAATGAAATCATACTGTTAGCATGGATTCCTCTACGTTGGACTCACATAGTTTTCTAGGGAAAATTTGAAGAGGTGCTTCCATACCATGCCATTGAAGAGTTATTTTATTTGGAAATAGCAGCTATTCCTTCTCACATTGGCTTTGATAGCCATATGAGAAGAAAGCAAATTTCTTCAGAATTTTGGCCATATTTGGTCCCCCAGACTTGGCATAGACATATCGAAAATGGAAAACGGAAAGACTCTACCGGGAACATAAGTACATGAATTGTTGCCAACCCTGAGAAATCACTGAGTATCTTCCCCTAAGTGTTTGCCAAGAGTCCATTTGATGCAGTTAACAGACATCTTTTAAGCTTGGTAAGAAGTCCATAAATCCAAGCAACTCCTACCTACAGTTCTGTGCATAGATTGTGAATAGTTCAGTGAGCTTGATAAATGAGAAAATGTACTGATAGACTGGTGGGAGTTATTAAATAAATGTTTGTTTTTAGAACATCTGCATTTCCACTTTTCATAAATAAAAGCGAAAACCAGTGAGAAGGCTCTTGCATCATCAAGGATGCTCATGTTAGAGGGTGGGGTCAGGTCACATGTGAACCAGCATGTTTTTTTTTTTTTTTTGGCATGATTTCCTCCATGTTGCTTTACACTTTAAGTCTGATCCTACCGTGATCTTTGACAATCAGTTATTTAATGAGGTAGTCCACATTGCCTAGACTTTCACTGTATCTGGTTATTATTCCACAAATAATTAAGTACAATATATCAGTTATTTTTTCCTTTATGTTTAATGGAATTCTGTGAACATTGAGAATATATTACTTTTAGTGGTACACAGTTCTTGAGAAAGTGTCTTGATTTGTTTTTACATTGCCATTTGAGATTTTTTTTAGCAGCTTTCTACAATATCATTTAATAAAAATAAAGTGTACTTGGTGATGGTAGAGAAAATATTGTTAGAGACTTCTCAGGTCAGGAAAGGCTCAGTCACAAAGTCAGGTGCTTGTTCCTTTTCAGCTGTGCCATTCTGATTCCTTTCTTTCAAGAATGACTATAATATTGCTGCGAAGTTCATTAGACTGAGGAGAGCCCTCCTTGAGCGTCACATGGAGATGGAGTAGAGCTCTTCTATTTGTTTTTTGAAGTACTCTCTGAGCTCAGGTCTCTTAGCCTTTAGTGTTGGTGTCAGCAAACCATTTTGAACTGAGAACATGTCACAATGGATGTAAATGGCTTTAACCTAAAAACCAAATGCAGAATATATCTTTAGCAGGAAAAACACAGTGTTTATAAGCATACACGGTAAGAGTGAACAGACATAGAGGAATAGGCATTTTGACTTAAGAGCACCATACTAAGTCAATATTACATTCAAATACATTTTAGCCCATTTGATATGTATAAAAGCCACCCTTTCCTCTTGCCATTCATTCATTCATTCATTCATTCATCCGGCAACTTGACAGACATGAATAGTTTGCTTGTTCTGCTAGGCACTTAGAATACAAGGAGTCAGGCTGGAGAGATGCCTCAGCCATTAAAGGCTAGGCTCACAACCAAAAATGTAAGAGAATACATGGAGTCTTAAATATCTACATCATAAATGGTGTACATTAGGTGTTTACAGAAAAGACTGAAGGATGTTGAACAATTTTTAACATGATTTTCACAGAATGAAGAGCACACACAGTCCTAAGTTACGGTAGTAAGAGTGAGGTAAAATCAGGGAAGATTTCACAATCAGGTGAGTGTTAAAAAAATGAGCAACAGTTGAAGCTGGGTATGGCTGTTAGCAGGTGGAGTGATCCCTATGGTGTATAGTGTATGGTTTTGAACCCCTAACATGCTCTAAAACCCCAGGCCAGACTCGAAGTCTACTGGGTTTTCCTTCCTTGTACAAATGGAAAGGTAGATGTGTGGGGGCAAATCACCAGCATTCAGGAAGTAGAGGTAGGGAGACCAGAAGTTCAAAGTCACCCTTGTTATATATCAAGTTCAAGTTCAGCTTGGGATTCTTGAGACCCACCTTAAATAAATAGATGAATAAACAAACAAACAAATAAATCGTGGAGCAGCAAAGGGGGAAAGTGGGTGGAGGAGGGTGCCATGGGCATAGTCATCAAGAACAAAACACGGAGCAGAAAAGAAGCAGGATGTCCAAAGGGGCAGCTCAGTGCTTCTTGTTATTACATAATGAAATCAAGTGTGGTAGAGGCTGAAGGCAAAAACAGGCCAGTGGTGGAGATGGTCAAACTTTATTCCAAGAACAAGAGGAAAGGGCTGGAGATTTAAAAAAAAAAGCAATGGCACACATGTACTGTAGAAGGGGATCCCCAGGAGAAACTGGAAGGTGTCTTGGAGGGGGAATCAAGAATAGGAGCATATGTCCCACTCATTGGAGACAAGACAATAGTCTACACGTAGGGCAGAGGCCGACACGAGATGGGTGAGCAGTTCAGTAAGGATCGGAGGCACAATGGCAAGATGCAATACAGAGGGAGGCATTTGTGAGGGCTCCTCAGTGTCTGGCTTAGATGGCTGCCTAGAGACAGTGTAATTTTACAAAGAATGCCAAGGGGATTAATTAAGGCAATGTTCTACTGTGGACATTTTTGTTTTTTGAGATATGATCTCATGTAGCTCAGGCTGGCCTTCTTCACTACATAGCTGTGCATGCTCTAGGACATAGGAACCTCCCGCCCCCTTTCTTTCTCCGTCTCCTCAGTGCTGAGATGGCAGGTGCACACCACCACACCTGGTTTATAGGGCACTGGGGATAGAACCCAGGGTTCTGTGTATGCCAGGCAAGCACTCTACCAGTTGAGCTACAGCCCCAGCCCATGCCGTGAACTTTTGTCAGGTCTCTTAAAGGGGCACAGAGGGATCTGATCTAGAGCTCTCGCTGTTATCTTCTATGAGGCAGAGCCCAGGATCCTCAGACAAAGTGGCTTTGCAAGGTGGCGTGGGTACAAGAAATGATCAAGGGATGGTCTGGCAGTGTCTCATAAGATTTCTGTCATGTTGGGCTCCAGCAGGAAGACTCCCAGGCAGTTATCTGAGAATTTTATACCTGAACTGAGGCTAAACACTGGAGTGGCACAATCTCTAAGAAATCGTGTCCTCCTAATGGGGACCACATTAGGTGATTTTTGTTGAGGAGAGCTGCTTAGTTTACTAAAGAGTGAGCTAGGCTAAACACTGTTGTTACACATACTTTAAAAATTATATCAAACTGTGTATGTTAAATTACTCTTACATATTCAGGTGTAGCTTTAGGTAATCGATATTCATGGAGCACCTACAGCATGTCAGGTTCTATGTTAAGCATCAGATACACAAAGAAAAGCAAGTAGCTCTTACCCACATGGAACCTACAATTCAATGAGAGATGCTAGCATTTGGCATAACCACTATGGAGATGAGTTTAGGGAGAATCCTACCAGGTGCTTCTTTGATATCCATTCCTCACTTTCCCCATGATAATAGAACCCTGACTTAATTTGGGTCTGGAAAACATACCATGACAATCCTGTTCTCTGATTTCTCAGCTCTGCTTTGCAGCTAGAGGATAGCCATGAGATCCATACTTGGTTACTAAGAAAGAAAGAAAAAAATTGCTTCCCTAATAAAAAACTCAGCTACAGCTACCTCCATCTCCTCTTCTCTTCCTTCCTTGAATGTGAACAGTGTTGAGAGCTATTGCAGCCACCTTGTCACCGAGGGTGAAAACCCAACATACTAAGAATAGAGAGAAGTGGAAAGACAGGAAAAGGCCATGTCTTTGAGGGCCTGCACCTACCTGAGGATCATTTGTTTTTTCACGCATGCAAAGAAGGAAACCCAATACGACTGTGAGTTTAAGGCTGTTCTGTGCGGGTTGGCTTCATTTCTTTCTGATACATCATATACCCTAGGCTTGGCGGTGCTTGAGCTGTATTTCATTATTATGTTTCTTTTCTTGTTGTGACCAAAATACCCAAGAGGAACAATTAAAGGAAGAACAGTATCTCCTGGCTCGTGGTTTCAGAGGAATTGAGTTCCTCATGACAGGGAGGCAAAACACAGCGGCTCTTTTCGGTGGCAGGGGGAGTAAAAGAGACAGCAGCTTGTTCACACGGTAACAGACAGAAAGCAGAGAGGCTAGACCAGAACAAGAGGTGTCTGTGACCTTCAAAGACCCCAGGCACCTGCTTCTGCCAGTCAGGTCCAACAGCTTAAAAGATCCATGACGTTCAAAATAGTGCTACCGGTTGAGAACTGGGTGTTCAAAACCTGAGCCTGTGAGAGACATTTTTGCATCCAAGTCATAACAGCCAAGGTTCTTTTAAACTGGGGTGTTTGTGCTGAACTCTGAAGAACAAGCAGGCTTTGGCCAGATGTGGACGGCCAGAGAGGGGATGGTGCTGGCTGCTGTGTGGTCCTAGTGGAAGCATGTGCTCAGGCAGAGGCAGTGATGCTCAAATCTCTCCTGCCCATTACATGTGTGGGCTGGAGCACGTGGTACATATGATATAGAAGAGAGGTGGGTCTAGAGAGAATGGCCAGACTGTAAAGTGTAGTACAACTTGCTGGCAATTTTGGACAGGACTTGATATAATTGTTGAACACAGGAAACTGAGCAAGAATGGCTCTGACTCTCAAGATAGATCAAGAGGCCAGGGAGATGTCTGTGCTATTTTTAATACAAAAAAGCAAACAAACAAACCTCAAAAACTCAATACAAAAAATTGTCTAATTATGAGTGTGTTAAAAAGAGAGGATTCTTATTCTTTATTTCCATGAAACTGTCTTTCTACTTTTTTCCCTCCCTCCCTCCCTCCCTCCCTCCCTCCCTCCCTCCCTCCCTCCCTCCCTCCCTCCCTTTCTTCTTTCCTTCCTTCCTTCCTCTCTCTCTTTCTTTCTTCCTACCTATCTACATACCTATTTACCTACCTACCTACCTCCCTCCCTCCCTACCTATTTGATGTGTGTGTTTTAGCTGCCTGCTTGTTTGCATACCATATGCAGTGCCTGTGGAGACCAGAAGAGGGCATTAGATCCCCTGGAAGTGGAGTTACAGACAGTTGTGGGCTTTCATGTGGGTATTGGAAATCAAAACCGGGTCCTCTGGAAGAGCAACAACTTCTCTTAACTACTAAGCCACCTCTCCAGCTCTCTCTCTCTCTCTCTCTGTGGATACATATAGGCATGTAAGAATGTGTGTATACTTATATGTACGTATGAATGAATGTATGTATTTTTTGAGACAGGTGTGTGTGTGTGTCTCTCTCTCACTGTGCAATGCTGATTGGCCTGAAACTCATTATGTAGACTCACAGACTACCATGCCAGACTCTTTCTAACTTTTAATAAATTTTAGAGAAGAAATAAAAAGCAAATGCCTAGTATTAGCTTTCTTTCTTGAAACTTGTCATTGAAATGACATTTAAAAAACACTGTAAAATTAAAATGTTGCATTGGAAAGCGATACCTCCAAAAGTCTCCAATTATGTCATCTCATAAGAACATGAACTAGTAGATATCTGCTAGCCTCCAGGGGCTGGAGAGATGTTTCCTTGGTTAAGAGTATTGGCTGTCCTTCCAGAGAACCGAGGTTCCATTTCCAGCGCTCACATGGTAGCGCACACCATCTGCAGCTCCTGTTCCACAGGATTCCATGCTCTCTTTTGACCCTGAGGGAACTGCTCATACATGGTGCATGGACATACATGCAGGCAAAACACCCACACGCATAAAATAAAAATAGGTAAAATCTCAAAAACTCCTAAAAAGTAAGAACAACAAACCCACAAACTTCTGTGTGTCTGGAGAATCATAATAATTGAAGTTTTTTTCAAGGGTATTAACTCAAGTTTGCTTGTAGATAATAAACACAAAATAAATAATTTAAGAGGGAAGACAGACAGAAAGAAAAATGAAACATTTTCATGAATCAGGAAAATGATAAATCCATCCCTACATTGATTCAGCAAGTATTGATTTCAATATGAAGAAACACAGTGGGTCTAAGAAGACACTCACTGTTTAGAGGCCGGAAAAAAAAAATCTGTCAAAGCTCATTTTGTATTGTCTACACAAAAATTAGTGAGGCATGCAAATATCAAGAACAAACTCACAATTAAATATGACTAAATATCTGCCAGTCATCTACTTGCTGATAGAATTAAGAGACAGCTTTTACAGACCTCTGTAAATTACTCATGGCTGACCTATTTTTTTAGAATTGCATAGTTCTGAAAAGTACGCCACAGTAAGTCCATTTTTTTCCCCTAATTCAAAGTTTAGTACAATCCACCCAGCTCAGTAAATCTAAACTCTTGAATTTATATAGGATGACTCAAACTCTGGACTTGTGTCATTCCTTGTGTGTTTACAGCTAATGCTTAATAGCCTCCCCTCACTGCCCTTGAGATAGAGCCTCACTTCATAGCCCAGGCTGGCCTTGAAGATATGGTCCTTCTGTCTTAGCCTCCCCAGAGACAGGATGGCAAGTGTGGACCACTATCGCTGGTTGACCTTTACTTGTTTTATTTGTTTGTTTGTTTGTTTGTTTAGACAGGCCTCATAGCCTGGGTTGGCCTGGAACTTGCTTTGTATTTTGGACAGCCTTGAACTTCTGATCGATGTGCGTCTACCTCCCACGTGCTGGGATTCTATAAACACGCTGCCCCATGCCTACTGTACATGGTGCCGGGGAGCAAACCAGCTAAGCCGAATCCCAGCCTCTGGCCATTTATTTTTGAAAAAGGAAAAGACCAAGATAAAACCAGATTATGGATCAATGGAGACAACCTCTGTGAAGGATGGTCTGTGTCTGGAGCACACCTTCCTCTGGACAGGGGCCCTGCTGTCTGTTTTGCTATGATCCGCTGAGGCTACATGCTAACTGTGCCAGGAAGGATGGCTCAGAGCAGCGAGGAGGATGAGAACAGAGAAGACCAAGACGTAGCAATGTTGGCAATGAAACTAAAGACCTCTGAGGTGCCACATGGCTTTCTTGCATCTGAGGTTGCCATGGTGAGGGCAGATTATTAGAGCAGAAACTGCACATGAAAACTCAAGGTCTCTCTCCTCTCCTTAATGCTCTATCCAAAGGCAATGGAGAAGACTGAGATTTTAAGGTTCCTTTTAAAATAACCTTAAGAATATCTCTCTCTCTCTCCTTCCCCCTTCCTCTCTTTCTCCCTTCCTGTTCCCTCTTCCCTTCCCCTCCCCTCTTCCCCTCCCCCCCTCCCTAACCCCAGTGTGGGTTTCTGATGCAGGTTATATAGCCTAGCACCAACAGATGGCGTGCAGGGCTTAGAAATTCACAAGGATGTCCCAGGTGCAGCCCCAGCCTGTCCTTCCAACTGCCCCAGGCTACGGGGCCTGGAACCACTCAGGCATGGCGCCCCGGCCCTACCACTGCCACGCATGATCCAATCACACAGATCCCTACTAAGGAAAAACCACAAAAAAAAGTTCTATGAAATTTGGAAATTGAAAAGATCCTAGTGACAAAAATGGACCTTCTATTCTGAAAAATAAAGCAAGCAGCCAGGATGCCTCAGATCCAAGCATTTGCTGTCCTAAAATATTTACTGTTTCTCAAATAGGTTTAACTTAAACATCTCTTTCAAGAGAAAAACAATCTCAAGCACTGAAATATGTTTAGATTTCTTTAGCTTTGAATTAGCTGGGTATGGTAGGTAACTCACGCCTGTAATCCTAATTTTGGGGGGCTGAGACAGGGGGATTGCAGTAAGTTCAAGTCCAGCCTGGGCTGCATAGTAGGCAGCAGGCCACCTGCCCTGGCCTGAAACCATTATTGCACAAGACCCTTTCCAAAACCAAGCAAAACAACAAGAAAAAATAAACCTTTGTACATCAACATATTTTAATTCAGATTAAACATATGAATTTTACATTTAAAATCAATTTTAAAATAGTTGTAGGCTATTTGCATATAAAATTTAAAAATTCTTCTAAGCTTTGCAGACCCTTCATACTATATTTTGAGGAAGTTTTAATGGAAAACATGTTTGTTTATTTTTGAGCAGGGTTTCTCTGCAGAGCCTGGTTGTCCTGGAACTTGCTATGTAGACCAGGCTGGCCTCGAAGTCACAGAGATCAGTCTCCATCTGCCTCCCATGTGCTGGGATTAAAGGTGTATGCCACCACACCCAGCAGAAACAAAACAAAACAAAACAAAACAAAACAGTTCTTGAAAAGTCTTTGTTACATTTCTCTCTCTCTTTTTCCCTCTCTATCTGTGTGTGTGTGTGTGTGTGTGTGTGTGTGTGTGTATGTGTGAATACGCACATACATGTATGGAATTCAGAGATCAGCTTTCGGGAGTTGTTTTCCTCCTCCCATTCATTATATGGGACTCAGAGACTCAACTCAGGTCATCTGGTGTGGCAACAAGCATCTTTACTTGCTGAGCCATCTCGATGCCCTCCCCGCCCCCCATAAGTATGAGTGCTAATTTTGTGAAAGACAATTCTTTCAAAAGCCAAAGGATTAAATTTTCTCTCGGCATATTACTACTTTCTGCTTGGAAGCTTTTTCTCTCTGGCTTTTACTGAAAAGCAAGCATGATAGGTGAAGTAGGGCTGAGCATGCTCGGCCCTGGACTCAGCTACAGTGTCAGAGGAACTGGGTGTCCTTGGTTTGTGGGTGCTTTGCCTCCTTCTCCTTTGCAGAAGGCCCCTGGGCTGATAATGTCCTCCTAGCAAGTCAGCTTGCCTACAGCTGCCAAGAAGGCAGTGCCCATTAAAGTAAAAATAAGGTAGGGCACTTGGGAGCCTGACCGTGCCCACGTGATCTACCAGTGACAGCAAGACTTCTATTTCAGCCTTATGATCGCCCGCGGTTATAAGGGCAACAAGCACAGCCTTCCTTGTCCAGCGACCTATTTTAGTTTAGGAGCAGGCAGTTGGCTCGACACAGGCCTCCGGGGTCTGTTGGTGTACAGGCTTCTATCTGGCCACATCACAGGGGAGGAGAGAGGCTAGGTCAGGGTCAACCCGTGCTCTTATGCAAAGGGATGAAATGGGTATGCGAATGTTACCTGTTCAAACGAATGGAGTCCGCTCTGTTTCCCCAGCATCACCATGTCATCCAGGATGGCTTTCTTTAGCTCCTGAATTGAACCATGTAAGTGAAACAACAACACATTTCAAAGCAGGGTGGGAGACAGAGAGAGGGAGCAAGGTTTTGAATTAAGGTCAACCAGTGACAGAGTAGACGCATGCTCTCTCAGTCCCTTCCCTGTTGAGGGTCACCTGGTCCCACACCAATCAACACCTCTCAGCAGGACAGAAAGGGCTGTAAGTGGCCAGAGAGGTCACTGTGAGTGGGCAAGGCGTGCTTTGTTTTCAGTGGTCTGGTGGTCAGCCTGGAAGTGCTGCCAGCCCTGTACAGGCTCAGAGATTGAGGGGGGAAGGTAGAACCAGAGACAACAGCCTATTTCTGCTGCTGAAGCAAAGAACAGCAATCCTCCCATGGAACTGTCATAAGACAGTTCCATGAAGGTAAAGATGGTGGATGCTTTTGAGTGGAAAGCATTTTATCACTGCCTCTTAACCCAGTGCACATGAGATCCACCTTCCCTTGGCAACAGCACAGCTGGTGGGTCAGAGAGCCTGTGTTCACATCTGGTTCTGCTCTGAACCAGCTGTGTGGCCTGGGACACATCACCTCCTCTGGGACTGCTCCCTTCCAAGCTATGGGACAACAGGGCAACAGATAAACCTGGTGTGATGGCTCCTGGTCCCAAGAAGCCAATGGTTTGCTCAGTTTCTAAAAAGAAAGCAGGGATGTCTTCAATAACTGGAAAAGGACAAATCTCTGGTTTAGGGTTCCAACCATGTGTCAAGTGACACGGGGTGCATTTAGACGTCACTGTTGTCAGCTTTTCTGTCCCCTCATTATGTGACTCATAAGATGCCTGGTGGCCTGTTGGGACGTGCCTGGGGATACAGACCTTACTTTTACAGAGCTCCTGAAAGGTTCCTTCGATTCCTCTCTTCTGGGCCCAGGAAGGCATGACTTCAGGGTCAGGCACGACAATGCCAACCAAAAAGGCCTACAAAGCCCACCAGAAAGCACAGTCAGGACAAAAGCTTTCAGAGCTCTCATTTGTGGTCCAGCATTAAAAATAATCTCTTGGCATTCTCAGACTCCACCCTTTCCTAAAAATAAGCCTACACTTATGAAACATTTGTTCAGAGGTTATAAAACACTTCCACCAGTGAGCCTCGAAGTGCTGACTGGTGGCTTTTGACACAGAGCTGAACAGTAGTTAAGCATCTGCTTAGCATGTCTGAGGCCCTGGGTTCAAGCCCCAGTACCAAAAGCCAAGAATTAAACACACACACACACACACACACACACACACACACACACACAAAATCAAAAAAGCAAAAATACTGAATTTTTATTTAATATCTTGTTTCAAGAAATTCTTCCTTGGAAGTTAGTGAACATATATGAAAATTCACAGAAATGTTTATTTCTGTGTCTTCATGTAACTCTCTTGCCCTGACTACAATCACCCAAACCCTAAGTAATTAAGATTTCTTCTGCATTTTGCTTTGAGGTTGAGGCTGGCCTCAAATTCTGGATTCTTTAGCCTTTGCCCCTGCAGGTACCACCGTGCCTGGCTTTATGTGGTATTGGGCACAGAACCCAGGACTTCCTGCATGCCAGGCAAGCCCTCTGCTCAGTGAGCTAGATTCCCGAGCCCCATAATTTCTCTTTTCGAAAGGAAATTTTCCTCTTGACTTGAAATGAACGCATGGGTGAATTCTGATGGTTGGCTAGGAATCAAAACCTAAGCTGGAAGTTTGGGGCAGGCCAGCGTGTGCAGGAGAGCTGTCGCACTGGTGCTCACCTTTAAGCTGTCCCCATGGACATAGATTTGCGCCACAGGCTCACTCCGGATGTAGATGTTCTCAATCTTCTCTGGCGCCACATACTCCCCCTGGGCAAGTTTGAATATGTGCTTTTTCCGATCAATGATTTTAAGTGTTCCCTCCTGTGGGGTGGAACAGACAGCTGCCTAAGACAGCACTCCAATTTACAAGCCGGGGCCCCGCCTCCTGGGTGCAGACTTACCCGGGACACCCCAGCACAAGCTGCTCCGGTGTCTACAGAGATGTTACATGGGCCGTGATGGAGCCACCACCCTCCACAGGTGGGGGACATGTCAGTTCTGCCGGGCCCTGAACATCCATCATCCTTTCTTCTGTGTGAGCCTTTCCAGACCCTCTTACTTCCCCAGCCTCGCTCATCCCTAAAGCAGACATTCATCTGACTTGCTCAGATCCGTCTCCGCCCCATCAGGGCTCCTCTTGCCCAGGCCCAAGCTCCAGCGGAACCTTTCCTCATCAGATCCACACTCTTTGACACTCACTTGCGTCTATTGTCCCAGCTACTGCCTCAACCCCAGGGTACCCTGACAGAAAGCAGATTCCTCAGACAGCCCACGGCCTCCACTCAGCCACTAGATGGTGCTGAAAGCCCCACTCTCCCCAATATACACTGGCAGGAAGGAAGGGTACCGGTGGTCCCTGGGACCTATTGATTGATTGATTGATTGATTGATTGATTGGTTCTCAAGACAAAGACTCGTTTTCATTCTGACAAGTAGGAAAGTATGGCTGATCAGGCCGACACTGGGATCTGCCTGGCTCTGTTTCCCCAAGCACATGCCCCTTCACCCTGCTTTAACAAACAAACCACCAACAATCAGAAAAACTAGGGTTCTGGCTATTTAACGCAGGTTCTCAGGCTGTGTCTCTCAACCTTTCCCATGGCCCAGCTTGCTTTCTTTCTTTTTTTTTTTTTTTTTTTTTTTTTGTAGCAAGGACACTTCTCAGAAGAGTCTAACAAAATGCTAAATGTATAATACAGTATTTTAGCTGTCCCTGCACCTTTTTGAGTTCCTAGGGGATTAAACGGGACATAACCCATGAATGCTGTGTTTTCATTATCTCTGGCAACAGCTGAAACCATGTCCTGAGTAGACAGACTCCCGCATACCCTCCGTCCCCACTATCTGTTTGGTCCTCCAGGGCCAGAGCAATCTCCAGAAAAGAAAGAGAAAGCAGGCCTGTTTCTTGTTTCATTTTGTTGTCAACTCTGGGGCTGGATCCCTTTAGTTCCTTTGGTCTTCATAGCAACAGCCAGCTATTGTCACCTCTCTTCCTCTCCTGAGGAAAATGAGGGTCCAATAGCCTCAGGACTAGAAAACAGAGGACTCAGGGCTGAGATCCAAGACTTTCTGAATTAGAGGACGATGCCTTCTCCCACATCTATTGCTATAAAACAATCATTTCAAAGCACAACTATTTCTTAGACATAATCATTGAAGTGTTTCACATGGTCTGGTAGAAAACATGAATAAAACATAATAAAAACATCACTCATCCACTCATTCAAATAAGCTGACACCAAGACCAGAGTCGTATTTTAAAAGGAAAATTATAGATCAGTCTTGTTTGTGAGTAGAAACAGAAAGGCCAGACACAGTGTATAGAAAAATAGTCTGACAGAAAATCACATCCTAGCCAAGATGAACTTAAACCACGAATGCACAATTAGTCTGAAATGAGAGGCACGGAAAGAATAAACACTAATCTCAAATGGAAGAACAATTTCAATGGAAATTCAGCCCTTATTCAGAGAGGATAGTGACTTTTGACACCGACTCCACAGGCTACTGGCAGTTCTTGGGTCTGACCACACCAGCTGCATCATGGGAGTTTACTCACGTACTTCCTACCATGCCCGGAATGGTGGGAGCTTCATTCATGCTTGGTGCCTCAGCTTTGAGTGTTTATGGTTCTGAGACACTTTCTTTATGGAAAATAACACAGAAACCGTGCATTATGGCACATGTCTGTAATTCCAACACTTGGGAAGCTGAAGCAAGAGGATAGCAGCTCATTTGAATTCAGCCAGGCTGTACACAGGGCTATGCAGAAAAACCTTAAAAATCTCATCATCATCAATACACAAAAGCAACCAATCAATAATAATTTATTCATAAAAAATAATGTATAACTTACAAAATGATAATTTATTCATATAAATGAATTGACAGCAGGGCCTTGAGAGGGGCTCTCACAAGTGCAGGGCCTTGAGTCCCAATCTCCCTTGGATATGGAACAACCCTCCCTCCACAAGTGTCCTGTCCCCCAGGCCTCTCCTACACATCTCTGGGCCTTCTGTTGGAGCTGACTGCCTGCTGAGCCTGGCCTGACTGTCCTTTACTCTTGCCTGTCCTCTTGGCCTGAGAGTCAGGTCCAGTGAGTACCTCTCCTCAGCTTCTTCCCTGGTGCCTTGTACCCTAAACCCTACTCAGGCCAAAAATAAACATGCATGTCTTCCCTGAGCAGAGTCCCTGTCCCAGGGAACACACTGGGGACTTGTCCTTGTCTGACACAGGCATGAAGGTTTCTCAAAGGCAAGTGCACAGGCCCAAGCACAAGCAAATTAGCTCTCCTGGCCCCAGAGCCAGGGAGGGCTCAGCACCCTCATGTACTTGATAAACTCAATACCCCAGATTCTGACCAAACAGCAGTAACTTTCCAGACACAGAAGCAGTCCTCTGGCTGAGTGACACCAGGCAAAGGCTCTGGGTATTGGCAATAACAGTTTTTCCCCTCAAGTGATTTGCATGAGTGTCTGATACCTGCCAGACACTGTGCTAAGTGCTTTGTAGCCATGATTTCATTTGTTCCTTGTGATAACAGCTAAAGAGGCAAACAATACCATTATCCTCATTTTTAAAATAAGGAAATGTGGGCTAGAAAGATGGCTTAGAGGGGAAAGGCACTTTTTGCCAAGGCTTGTGACCTTAATTTGATGCTGAATACTCTCATGGTGGGAGAGAATCAATGCGTGCAAGTTGTCCTCTGACCTGATGATCCCATTGGGGTGCACACCCCCACACAAGTACACACAAGCATATAGGTACACAGAATAAACACACAAACAAATAGATATTTTAAATGAGAGAATAAGGCAAATTGGTTTGGGCTAAAAGTTGGGAGCCACAGCCAAAGAATGCTATGAGAATTCAGTTTCTTCTTCTGCAAATGGGCCAGGGTGTAGCCCAAAAGAGGAGTGTGGGTTTGTTCAAGGTGACAAAAACAACTTCCAGCAGAGAGAGTCAAAGGAACTCAAGTATCCCTAATCCACCAACTCCAGGATTTTCCCTTTTCCAGATGCCAACCTGTCAGGACCAGCATCCCTCGATGTGGTGGTTTGAATAAAAATGGCCCCCACAGGCTCAAGGGAGTGGCACTGTTGGGAAGTGTGGCCTTGTTAGAGTAGGCATGGCCTTTTTGGAGGAAGTGTGTCACTGAGGGTGGGCTTTGAGGTTTTAGAATTCCAAGCCAGGCCTAGTGGCATTCTCTCCTCCTGCTGCCTGCTGATCCACTACCTCTTCAGCACCATGTCTGCCACCATGCTTCCTGATGTGATGATAATGGACTAAACCTCTGAACTATAAGCCAGCCTAATTTAAATGTTTTCCTTTGTAAGAGTTACCATAGTCATGGTGTCTCTTCACAGCAATGAGACCCTAACTAAGACACTGGCTTTCTCAGATCTACCCAAGAAATGTACCTCCTTCTACTAACCACCAGGCTCCATATACTAGTAAACCTTTTCCTGGATTCCATGAAGGATAGGAAGTTGTTTTCAGGCCCAGGTTCTGCCCTCCACACAGGCCACTGTCACTTTCATTGGGACAGCAGGAACAAGCTTAAGACAAGGTTGGAGCACATATGGAGAGGTGCCCTGTGGTCAGTGAGCTGGCTTGCATACCCACTCATCACTGGCATATGGACCATCACCCTCCAAATGTACATACCGGCAGCCATTTCCCAATGTCTCCAGTGTGAAGCCAGCCGTCACTGTCCAGGGCCTCCTTTGTCCTGTCCTCATCTTTCAAGTAGCCTTTGAACACATTTGGTCCTTTCACACATATCTGTGGGTGGGGGGGGAAATGCCACGGCTTTGCTCACTCACGACATCAGAGATTATTCATCACTGCCAGACTGTCTGTTATCAGGCATGAAAATAGGTGTGCTATCTGTCTACTGGAAGGCTACTGTGGAGACTCTGAAAGGACCAGAGGTGTCTCTGCCCTTTGACCTGCCTCTTGCCTTCTCTGAAGCAGTGTTTTCCCTGCCCTGAGTGCACTTTCTTCATTTGCCACCTCTTCTCCCTCAGGAGTCCCCTGACCTGGGGCTCGTGCTGTTTTGTGACATTTGCCACAGATACTGATGACTGCCTCATCCTTCCGGTTCTGTCCAGGCTGCTTAATTCATTAGCAAGAAGTCCGTTTCTCCACCCACTCTCTAGGGCTGAGCAAGAATAGCCCAGCTGAGCCCACCTCATTTGGCTTATTTGAGTAGAGCCATGTTTGTGATGAGACAAACTATACTGCAGCAACCTACAAATGGTTGACTATGTGGGGGAGAGGTACTACTTTTAAGGTTTATAAATGAAAAGTTCTTGATTTAGAACAACTCAGCCTCAGTGAGGTTGGTTGAATCACGCATGTGAATAACGAAAAATGACTTTATATGCAGGCGAGGAGAAAATGGCTCTGTTCCCACTGTTTTTTGCTTTCACTTGGCTACATGTGACATCCGTAGAAACAAGAGGCAATATTTCAATCTCACCTCTCCTTCTCCTTTGCGGGTCCAGTAGTTGAGTTCCTCTGCATCAACCAGCTTGATGTGGTTGCAGGGCAGAGGTGCCCCTACGTGCCCTAGGACGCCGGGATACAAGGTGACACTAGTCAGCGTTTCAGCACTGGTGGTGCTCGGTGCCCTACGAACTCCCCCAAGCATCCTGGAGTAGTGGGGCATGCCTACAATTCCACCACCTGAGAGGCGGAGGGGAAGGCATCAGGAGCTCAAGGTCTTCCTCGGCAGCACAGTAAGTAGTTTGAGGCTAGCCTGAGCTGCATGAGTCCTTACCTCTAACAAAACAAAGTCGAGACAAAAGCCCAAGCGGGGTTAAAGCGTGGAGCTGTGGCACCGGAGTAACACACCTTTATACAGGAGTTGGTCACGGGACAATCTGAGGACAGAACTAAACTCCAGAGAAAGCAGAGGGTGACCTCCACTTCACGTCTGATTTCTTTTTGTTACACGGGGTCGTTTTTGAGACAGGGTTCTCTGTGTAGCCCAGGTTGTATCGAAATTCACTATAGCACCCAGACTGACCACAAATCGGTGATTCTGGACGTCAGTCTTGCCAATTATAGGAGGGCACTACAATGCCAGGCTTACATTTGGTTCTAATTTTTCTACGTTTATCAGCATAGTGTATGTGTGTGTTGTGTACATGTACATATGTCACAGCCTATATGGGGTAGGTCAGGGGATAGCTTGGTGGAGTCAGTTCTGTCTTTCAACTATGTGGATTCTGGGGAATTGTCAGCACATGCCTTTACCAGCTGAACCATCTCACTGACCCTTATATTTGGTTCCTACAGACTGAGACAGGTATAATTCACCTAGCACAAACCTACGTGAGGGCCCCGAGTAAGGTGGGAGTCTCGTGCCTATCATGCATATGGTTAGGAAGTTTTACAGTGGTGTCCACAGCAAAACATTTTTCCAACTCAACATAGTGGTACACACCTATAATAGCATCGCCCAGGAGATGGACGCTGGGGAATCAGGACAATCAGGCCAATCGGGGGCCCCTGTGTGCTGCATGTGTCTCACAAGCTACAACCATCATTTCTTCTCCCCTAGTCAGACTGGTGATTGGTGTGCACGGAGGTAACCTAGAGCTCTTGTTACAGATTTAGAGTCAGGGCCGGGATGAGGCATGAGGGTCTGTGTTTCTCACAGGCACTGGGCAATACTGATGCTGCTGGACTCAGTACTACACTTAGGTAAGCAAGGACAGCAAAGCAGAATGCAGTTGCTCATCCTGAAAAAAAAAAATTCCAAATTTTGTTGTTCTTATGCACTCCAGTCACAAAATCCTATCTAAGCCATTTACTAGCTTTGTGGTTATCTGTCTGTCTGTCTCTCTTTCTCTATATTGCCATTGTGGTCTTTGCCTCACTTTGGGAAGCTAAGGGAGTGTATGGTAGGTGCTGGCCAAGGTCCTGAAACCCGATATGCCAAGGGTATGAAAAGAAAATACTGTGGTACTTGGGTTTCTCTTTTAGAAGACACATTGCCAAACTTGTTATGATGCTATACAAAGAGACATCAGTTTTCTCACACCTGTCCTCCTAGGTTTTCTAGTACAGATAAATAAAAACTCAACAGTTTTCAATGAGAAAACATTAAGGACGGCATCCAAGGTAAAGAGGCTTACCACCAATCCTGCTACCCTAAGTTTGCTTCCCAGAGGCTACATGGTGGAGAGAATTGACTCTTGTAAGCTTTTTTCTGATATGCACACATGCTCTGCGAGATGCACATGTTCTCAGACACAAATAAATACATGTAATTTTTTTTTAAAGGTAAGAACGAAAGTGTCCAAGAGGAATGGAATTTGTGAAATGGTGGCTCAGTATAATGGAAACAACAGGGAAAAAAACCAAAGCTAGGTGCTGGAGCGATGGCTCTGTGGCTAAGAGGGCTTGCTTCTCTTACAGAGAAGAATTTGGTTCCCAGCATCCACATTGGACAGCTCAAAACAACCTGAAACTCTGGCTCCGGGGGGATCAGATGCCCTCTTCTGACCCCCATGGGCATGTGTGCTGTCGTGTGCATACCCACTTCCCACATACATACAATGAAGAATAAATATTTGAACCCTTTTTAAAATTAGTGAGCATGTTTCCTGAAGAATGTCTGTCAGCAGTAGAGTGACCAAAAGGCTTATATAGGAAGCAGTCTTTATCCAGCTTGAGTGTAATTAAAAACAAAACTAAAACTAAAACTAAAACACTCCTTAGCTGGTTCAGTCAAATGCAGTTCCCAGTTTGAGTCTCCCTATCATGTTGCAAGATGCTATGAAATACTATTGCATTAACTGTCATTTTTTTTGCATGCACATCATTCCAAATTTTCCAGCTTGTGCTTGCATCTCCTCAAATGTAAGCACAAACAATGGCCCCAGGGGAAAGAGGCCAAAAGAATTCTTTGGCTGAGTGCTTTCCGAGTTTGTTCAGTGCCTAGTCTGAAGGCAGTGATGGGTGATCCTTCCAGGCTAACTACTGTGGACCTACTTCTTGTCTGCCTAGAGGCGTGTGTGTGGACCTCCTCCTTTCTGAGGTTGCCACTGCCACAAGGTACATCTCAGGAGACCCATAGTCCTCAGGGCTGCTGGAGACATGGCTTAGCAGCTGACCACTCACCATTCTTCCAAAAGGACTGGGGCTTGACTTCCAACATGCAATTAGCGGCTCACAACAACCTGTAACCCTAGCTCCAGGGGACCCAAAACTATATTCTGGTCCCTGCAGGTACCAGATACACACATTATGCACATATGCTCAGGCAGGCAAAGCACTCATACACATACATTTTTTTTAAACGAGAGAAGTGTCTGTTCCATTCTATTAAAAAAAAACAGTTCTAAAATAACTGGAAGCAAGGCGGTGTGGTTATGTAAGAATCTATAAAACTCGCTGTGCTGGTACTATAAGCATTTACCAAGTGGGGTTCTAGCATGTGATTTACATTTTTACAACTTCTATTTATTTATACAAACAAAGCAAGACAAAACAAAAAAGCAGGACAGGCTTTTGAGAAAAACCAGTGGGCAAAGATGCTTGCTGCCAAGCCTGAAAAATCTGTTTGATCCAGAAATACACAGGGTGGAAGGAGAAATGAAAAAACAAAAACAAAACTCCTGAAAGTTGTCCTCTGCCTTCCACATGAATACCATGGTGTGTGGAAAGATGCGCACACACATAAACAAAGTCAGTAAATAAATGCAATTGAAATTACAAATAAACATTTTAAAATAGGGAAAATACAAAGGAAGGAGATGCAAAAAACTGCAACAAAGTGACAAAGATCCACAGTACCACAACGCAGACACCACCCCCAGTTCTGGCATCCAGCAATCCCCGCTGCAAGCTCTCCTACCTGATGTCCAGTCCCCTGGTGTTGTGAAGGTGCAGCCAGCTGTGCATTCAGTTTGCCCATAGCCTTCATAGACCTTCAAGGAAAACACAGACACCATGATGCGGGCCACACTGTCCCAGAGCTCTTTGGTGGCCCTTCTTGCCCAGCTTGACTCCCACTGACTGTGTGCTGCTCCTGGCTGAGGATGGTGGGGGCCTGGAGCCCCGAGAGCTGACTCCGGTGTCACTAAACACAGCAGGGCTATGTTGCTGCTTTTGGCCATGAACATTCAGGTTGTGTGGTTTGGAATAAAGGTTTCTTGGCCAAATTTCAACCAGAGGCTCTATTTTCACTTGGATAAATGCATATTCAAGAAATATTCTAGATGTCCTACAGGTCTGATTTTATCTTTGACATTCCTTTCCAGACACTGGTGCTCACAGCATCTAAAGCATAAAGATTTAAGCACTATTCTTAAGAAACAGACATGTTTAACTTCCCTTGAAACCCCACTGCAGCCATGACACAATGCCCTGCCTCTTCAGGAACTTGACAGATTTTAAGTGAATGGATAAATTAAGGGATGGTTTTGTTTGTTTGTGTTTTTGCTTGCTTGCTTGCTTGCTTGCTTGCTTGCTTGCTTGCTTGCTCTTAGAGATAATCAAACAATAGCACACAGATAGGCTCTTCTCCCTGATGCTCTGGCATTGAGACGGGAGATGTTTTGAAGGCTGTAGCGAGCAGAGAGGCAAGGCAGCACAGTACAGAGTCTCCAGCACACTAAGGATGCATTTATATACTTTAAAAACATTTATTTCATGTGTGTACATGTGACTGAGTATATGTATGTGGGCGCCATGTGTGTGCAGTGACAGTGAGGTCAGAAGAGGGCACTGGATTTCCTGGAACTGGAGTCACAGAAAGTTGTGAACCACCATGTGGTTGCTGGAAATTGACCTCAGGTCCTCTGGAAGACCAGGAAGCATTCTTAATCATTGAGTCATTTCTCCAGCCCCTAACTATAACTGTGTTTATAGTTCATTTAATTCCTTTCCCCTTTGTTAAAACTTTCAAGGTCCCCAGTAAAGGATTCTCCTAGCATGGATATACTGGGATCTTTGTACAGTGGAGAGTATAACAGCTTCACTGCCTAGCACACATCCCTCCACCCCTGAGGAAGGCCCTGGAGGATGATACCTGGCACCCCAGAGCTGCTCGTAGGAATCCCAGGACTGTTGGTGATGCGGGGGCTGCTCCAGTAACAATCATTCTCACGTGCCCACCAAGACTGGCCTGCGGGAAGAGAGAAGCTGTCAAAGATGGCGACATTTGAGATGATTCTCATTCAAGGTCGGCTTTCAGCAGCTGCACCTGGATGCTGGGGCTCAGATCAGGAAGAAAGCACATAGCTTCCTAATAAATTTGATCAGTCAGCAACTTAGCCCACAGTATGTCCAATTCTGTCACCATTTCTAGACAAGTGCCATCATTCCATGAGGTAGTTTTTAAATACCATGCTTCTCCCTCCTAAAATGAGTCAGCTACTTTCTCACTCTCCCATTATTCACAGGCCTCCAAAACAATTACTTAAGACAATTTTCTCCAACTTCTATTTTAATGGCATCGTCTTTTTCTCATATACAAATCAATACTATGCTTTATTTACTATGTTCTGCAGAGGACAGAGGATACTTGAAACACTTTGTTTCTGTAAGTTGAGCCAAGAGAGTTTTAAATATTAATTTTCATGGCTAAAAACAGAACAGCAAGATAAAAAAAAAAAAAGTGAGTTGATACAACCCATGAACTAGATTCCTTGGGTGGTGCAGAGCGTGGGGGCTGTGGTGGCGATACAGCAAGAGGCATTTCTGGAATGGCCTGATTTGGGAGAGGCTGAAGGGATAAGACACCAGAAAAGGGAAAGAAGACTCCTGTTCATCTGGTGAGAGGTAAGTGTTTTTTGTTGATAGCACACCATAGCCAGTTTACTAGGAATGGCAAGAAGAAGCCCAGGACTGCAGGTCCCAGTGGTATCTGGGTGGAGCAATGGCCTGAGCATCCAGGCAAGGTGGAAGCCAGAGTACCTACTTTCTAAGGACCTTTTAAATATGTATGTATATATGATATTTTAATTAATTTTTTGAGAATCTCATACCACATTCATTTCCCACTTATCCTGTTAATTCCACCAGGTCCACCCCTGACTCCCTCATTTCTCACCCAACTTCCTGTTCTCTTTTTTTTTTTTTTTTTTTGTTTGTTTGTTTAACATTCTACGGAGTCTAGCTTGTGCTTCCCATATATGAATGGGTGTGAGGCCATCCACTGGACCACTGACAACGTGGGGGTCCTTCTTGCTGGTTACTTTTTAACAAATCTCCATTTTTTTCCTTTGAGATCATCCGCCAGGCACAGTTTCACTCTAGACCCCGCAGCCTTGTTTCTTTACCTGAATCTTATTAAAGAAGAGTTCATCCCAGATACTGTTGTTTCTGATGATTCCACTCTGAACCTCGGCCTGCTTGCGCTTTGCTGCAAACTCCAGGAGCCAGCGCTTTAATGAGGTGTCCGCCTGGTGGAAGATCTGAGGAGCACAAGCGGGAGACAGCTGTCAGAGCTTCGCTAGCTTCCTCCAAACACAGCCTGTGCCCTGGAAGAGGGTATAGACTGGCTAGCAAACGACCCCTGTTCCAGTGTGTCCTTATGAGAGGTCACTGGATTAGTGGCATGAGGCTGAAGGTTCCCACTATCAAGTGGTACATTTTGGAGATGGGAAGGAGATAGGGTGGAAAGGAGGGAGGAAAGGGGAGGGGAGGCGAAGAAGGGAAGGGAAGGAAGGGAAGATCTCTTTAACCAGAGTTTTAGAGGCTGGAAGAAAAGAAGAGAAGGAAGCATAGGGAAGAGTTAGAGGACCTAGGAAGGAGGCAAGTTTTCCGACCTGGGTTGGAGGGAAGGAAAGCCTGCCTGGGACCCCAGATTTTGTCCACACTAGCAAACATGAACCTTCCAGTCTGTGGAACTCACCTTGTCATACATCCGATTCAGCAGCCGTGGGACCACAGGGAAGATGGTGGGGCGGAGGGCTTTCATGTCTTCTGAGAGAAGGCGGATGTCTCCCTGGAAAAATCCCACACGACCTCCATGGCAGTAGACAACAGACTGAAGGAAGAAAATAAGAAAGTGGGAGTCATGTAGGGTGGGCACTCCTGGCTGCAAGCTAGAGCTATCCAGAGTCTGGCCCTCTATGGAGAAAACCAGGACTCCCACCCATCTCTGGCTGCTTCCATAAGACACCGAGTGACAAATGAGTGGCCCACCCACCCAGAACCTTTGTATTAAGTTCTAACCAGGCATAGGGAGAAGGCCGAATGTAATGATGCCAAAGCAGCCATTCTTGCTGGCGCCTGCCTCTTCAAGCCCACTCTCAACCCTAGACATGAGCCACCCCATCCCACTCCGGAAACTCAGATCTAGGGAGTGTTCTATTATCTACACTCCATAAATGGCTCTACTCCAGGCCCCTAGAGAGGCTCTGGATTTCCCAGAGACAGCTCAGCAACTGTGGAAGGTTGTGCCATTCTCTTGGGGTATTAGGGCTGGTAGGAGACCAGGGGTTCAGGGCTGGCTCCTATGGGGCCAGAAGCGTGTGAGGGGCCTTATATGTGCTCTGTTCTTTAGTACCCAGGCCATTCCTTTAAGGAAGGTGGTGTTTCTAGCATGACCACTGGTGGGAGACGAATGCAAAGCTCAGAGAGGTAAAGTGCCCGGCTGTATAAAGCTGGCCGACAATAATGGCTGGCATTCTAACACAGGCCCAGGGAGGTAGAAAGCAAGCCCTGTGATACCATATCTCCCCGCCAGACAGAGCAGAAATGTACTTGAAAGATGTATGTTATCCACAGGCTGGTCCTTTGAGTGGCATGCGCATGGAAAATTCTCTGACTCCACCACCCTATATGGATTCCTCCCTTTGCTCTGTCTCAGGGCCAGTCTTACATTGTCCAGATCTATAGCCCTAGGAGCCATGGCAGTTTGATGCTATGACTTTACTGCTTAATCTGTCTTTTAGGAGTTTGTGAGTTATGGAACAGAAGCATGTTGGTAGTCACAGAGCAGTACCACAGAGCTGGGGGTGGCAAAGCACGTCTCTGAATCTGTCATGCTCTTGGAACAGATGCCACCAACCAGGCCTTCTCCCAGCCGAAGTGTGTCTGTGAGAAAGGCGAGGTGGGTCTGGGTGGGTCCTGAAGCACCCACTGCTCTCAGGAAGGATAGGTGGGGTGGCCAAGGTCCTCCGATCCCTCTGGCCCCCTGTGCTATCTTCTAAGAATGGAACAGTTAGTCCTACTTCATACCAGTGACAGGTGACAAGTGATACCCTGCTGTAAGTGTAGGTTCTGGGCACAGAGGGCGCCTCTCTGATGCCAGGGCCTTACCTGCACCATTCGCTCAAACATGTGTGCTAAAGGCAAATAGGAAAAGTGCACATCCGCACAAGTGGGAGCCCACTGACTCTGCAAGAAAACACAAGGAGCCCAGGCAAGTCCCGGTCAGCCGGGCAGGTGTCTTACCTGGATCACTCTCTCAAACATGTGAGCCAGAGGCAGGAAGGAGATGAGCACATCGTCCTGTCTCGGAAAGATCACTTTCTGCAGGTGACGGGCATGGGAGACAGAAAGGAAAGAAACACTGACAGGAAGACAACGAGAGAGTCATAAAACAATAAAGAGAAAAATGGTCCTGGGGGGAGGGGTGGACAGGGAGTGGGGGAGAGGGAGGATGAGGACAGAGAGAGGTGAGAAGAGAGGAAAAAAAATGATGAGAGAGAGGAGGAGGTGGGGAGGAAAGGTGGAGAAGGGAGAGGGGAGGGACAGAGGGAGAGAAAGGGAGAGAGGGGGAGAGAGAGAGAAAGAGAGAGAGAGAGAGAGAGAGAGGCAGCATAGGAAGCGAAGTGTTAGGTCGCAGCGCCAGTGGGTGTAGGTTATCTGCAGAAGCAAAGAGCCACATGAAGCACACATAAACCAGCAGAGCCAGGCTCCGCAGGGAAGTCTCCTCTCAGGACAGCCTGCGCCTCTCTTGTAGACTGTCTGTTGGTGTTGGCGTCAGCCTGCCTCTCTCTGCCCTCCCCATCCTTCCTGTAACATCTGTTGCAGTCTCCCTGGGCTACTGAGTAGAGATTCGCATGCTCTTGGCTTGATGGCACTTTTAGGCCACGTAGAGAAAATGGCTCAGAGAGTCGTATACCTCATTTGTGCCAGTTGGGCTGAGTTCTGGGCGGGTGGCAGAAGAGAAGAGGCCAAGCCGCAAACAGGTGCCAGACACAGCCTTCCAAGCCACAGCTGGGAATCAGGGCCCTCCTTAAAGGGGACTACTCAGGCTGGGCACTAGCCCATGGCTGGCTCCCAGATGGGACTGGCCCCAGAGACACTGACTGTTCTGTCCAGTAAAGGGTGGGCACTTCCTCAGTGGGACCTAACTGTTCTCTGTCGTGTCACAGAACGCTTCACTCTCCTTTTGCCTTTTGAACCGACTTGGACAAACTTTAGATCCTGGATCATGGCTCTGAACCTGATCTCAGCCAGCAGCCATGCCTCAGTTTCCCACCAAGGCATCTCAGTGTTCGGAGCATATGCTTCGCAGTACCATGTAGCCCATGCTCAGAGAGAGACAGTTTCCACGGTGGAGAAAGGGCCTGGCATCCTTTCTCCTGAAGGAAGCTACAGCAGGTACTCACCCCACCTGGGGCAGCTCCTCCTTCCTTAGCAGTTTATAAACACTAACATGCTTTTGTCAGACCAAGAAAGCGAGCTTTGTGGACTTTCCAGTTACCTTTAAGTACAGCCTTACAATTAGCAGCTGCCGCTGTTTCTCAGACTCTAGTAGTCCTTAAACACAAAACGACCAAATTAAACCCTGGCCTGCTTGACACACAAGTCAATGAGACTTACTTCTGAAATAAAGGTACATACAGGAGCTCAGGGATCTCGTTACTTTTTTTTTTAAGTAAAAAATGAAAAACAAGTTTACATGCTCCCCATCCCCCACCCTGCGCTCTTAAAGTGTTTTTTTTTTGTTTTTTTTGTTTTTTTTTTTTTTTTTTTATATCATGTGAATGTTGGGGTATGGATCATTTCTACATTGGAGTTGAAAGCTAGTATGATAGTTTGTGCTTGAAATCCCAGCATCTGGAAGACTGAGGCAGGAGCATCAGGTATTTGAAGCCAGCTTGGAATACATAGTGAGACCCCAACCAAAAAACCAAACCAAAACAAACAGTACTGGGGGGTTAAAAGTGGTTGTAAAAGTGACAGTGTTCTATTGACTACAGAAACTCTTGTCTGCAAGCAGCTGCCCAGATTATAAATCCTACAATAATGGACAACAACAAAACACAACCCTAACACCTCTGATCTGTGGCCCTCGCACCATGTTCGTCTCAGGATGACTAGGAATATGGTCCAACGCATTTGACGATGAGAGAGTCACGTGGTGCTATGGAAAGGCCGGACACCCCTGTTAGTAGAACTTCAAGTGTGTCCTCAAGAAACACCTGCATAGGAAGGGCACTTTATTCACCTCTGTCACTTTCAGAAAGCCTGAGAAATCGGCCACCACGTTCCCATGGGTGAGCATCGCACCTTTGGGGTTCCCTGAAAACAGAAGGCAAGAAAAGGTGTTACTTAGGAGCCTGAACATTATCCTTTGACCTCCACGTATGTACTGTAGCATGGTATACTATGGCATGGTGTACCCAACTCCTACGCAAAATAAATAAAACAAGTGCCAGAGGATTTAACAACACTTTTCTAAATGGTCAATTTAAGCTGGACATGGTAGCTCACAATTGTACTCTCAGTTCTCTGAAGGCTGAGGCGGGAGAATTTCTGTGGGTTCAAGGCCAGCCTGGACTAGTCTTAGACTCTGTTTTATAAAGAGGGTGTGCTATGTGAATTTTGCCTCAAAATAAAAACAAAAAGGGGAGAAAGGAGCGAAACTTGTGAGGAGGCTTTCTTTGGAGAGGGTTGCATTAATACTTCAAGTCTTCTCCCTAAATCCTGAAACCTAAGATCACACAGATGCTAACAGGATCTAGGGAGACCCGTGAGAAGAGAGAGAAGGCCCAATGGTTACAAACAGGTCAAACAAGTCCTGGACCCCAGAGGCGGGAGGCAGTCTACAGTCAGGAGTCAGCCTGAGGTGGCAGAGAGGGCGCTGGGTTGGAGGAATCTGTTCAGCAGGCTGGTCTGCCAGGAGGCGAGGAGCCTCACTGAGATGGTTAATTTGGACAGGATTTGGGATCACCTAGGAAACAATCCTTTGGGCAGCTGAACGAGGCCATTTTCAGGGAGATTTGGCTGAGATGGGAAGCCCCACCCTAAATAAAAGGCAGGGCCATCCCATGGGCTGGGATCCTGGAGTGAATGAAAAGAAGAGGGAGGAGCACCAGCATCCGTTTCTGTCTGCTTCCTGACAGTGGATGTAACGTGACCAGCTGCCTCAGCTCCCACTGCCTTGTCTTCCCATCACGACGGTCTCTATCCTTTCTTAAATTATAAGCCAAGATAAAACCTTGTTTTCTTCTTTCCCTGAGCTGCATTTGTCAAGCATCTTGCCACATCAGTGAGAAAGGAAACTGATCCACCCTCCCAGCCCACAAAATTGGAGGAGGAGTTACAGAGTTAGGATGTGGTGGAGGAGGGTTCAGATAGCCCAGGAGAGGTACTACCTATGTCAGAACTCAGAAAAACACCCATCGATGAAAGCATAAGTTTTAGACATTTTCCCTCAACCATCTCCTGACATCTACAACCCAGTTCCTTGTTCTTGATCCTCCGTGTCAAACCTGGTGGGAGAGGGCAGAGATGCCACTAACAAGGTTGGGGTGCAGAAGCACAGAGGGGAGAAGGATGGGGGATTGTGCCTTCTTCCCATGCCAAGCCCATAGGGTCAGGGAGGTCCTGATGAAGCCTACTGGCTCCTAGTTTGGACTTACACCCTGTTTCTGAATTCAACTCTATGGCTTATGGTGACCCCGGGACCACCTTATTGTCCAATAGTGACCAGGAAGACATTTATCCAGGGGCAGAAAGAGAGAACTTCCTTCCCTGATCAAGTAACAGAGATAAAAATAAATTCCTCCTCATAAGCATATCCCCTGAGGCCTTCTTGCTCATCTTACAGGTGACCCAGTTGCCATCAGTCACAGCCTCATGTTCTAATTCAAGTGACAGAGGCGTCTCTTTGCCTCAGATGTGTGATAGGTGAGGTCTCAGCCTGTGTGCCGGTGCTTTCATCCATGGTATCAACCACAGGAGGGTTCTGGGGACATAGATGGATGTGGTTCTGGGGACATAGAAGGATGTGTTACATAAAAAGTGACTCTTTTTCCTAATAGGTAGTTGTCAAAGTGTCTTCCACTGGGAAAGAGAAAGACCCACAGGATCTGCCTCATCTGTGCTTGGCTTTTTATCCCAGCGTTCCCTCAGGCCTGAGCCCATGTTTGCTCTCCTAGTTGACCCTCAAGATATGAATCCTCCAGAATCCCAGAGCCCTTAAGGTATTCTGACAGGCACCTGGCAAGTTTTACCTTCAGGTTCTGGAAGTTTTTGAGGATCATTTTCCAGATACCAGATATAGAGTAGGAATATCACAAAATAGATCCTTGTGCCATAGAGTTATGGGCCTGTGGATCTGGCTGATGTGCACACAATCATCACAAACATGAGCAGAAGGCCTGAGGATGGGGAGAGAAAGCTGACGAAAATTCTGTACCACCTTCTCGGTTGAGGCCGCACACCAATTGGCAATGGTGGCAGTTCTTCGGTTCTGTGCCCTTCTCTTCTCCAGCACAATGCCCAAGCTCAGAACTTTTAGAAGTACAAATTTTCTTCCAGATTCAAATGTCACTTTAGGAACAACATAAAGAACTCTTGAAATAGTCCCAGAAGTGTTCAGATTATTTGTACAAGTCACCTCTCCGTGTGAGCCCAAGGGCTGAAGGAGAAGCAGGTGTTCATCACAGATTCTGGGAGCTGATGACAAAGGTCTCCTTAGGAAGGGAGAGGTAAGCCATCAGGAAAGCTGTGCCTGCTGCTTGGATCCAGGACCAGTCTACATCTCTGGCAGCATGTCTTTTAAACTGGGTGTAGAAAGTTTTCTGCCTGCTCACACAGAGAACAGAGATCATCTGGGACAGACCCATGAGCAATCTGGGTTGCAGAACCAAAGTGCAGATTTTCCTGCAGTTGTCTTTGCTGCACGTTCAGCGAGAAACTAAGCTACCCAGGCCAACGTCTCATCGACGCAAGGCTGGCTGTCTATTTTTTGGCTCCCACACAGAGGCTAGCTCTCTTTGCACGAAGCGTATTCACTTAAAATCTATGGAAACTGAGGCAGAAGGGAGGTCACATGATTCCAAGGCTACAAAAATCAAGAGTGCTGAGGTGTCTGCCAGAGCACTGGCAGGTGTTTTTCAGTGACTGGGTACAAGCTGGTTCCAGATAGAAGTAACGAATTCTGTTCTCTTCAGGCCTGATGAGGGCTCCAAAGCACTGACTGTTTCTAGGACATTCCTGTTACATGCTAGAAGTACCTCTTCCTGAAAGATTCTGCCAAAGGTCAGTGCTAGGTCATATTTCCTACATTCCCCCACTAGAAGAATAGCAGAGCTTTCATCAAGGCTGACAGCCAGACACTAGGCATGCAAAGCAAGCAGGTGGCTATGTATGACATCGAGGACAAGTGTGGATGACATGCTGACAAGAGGATGAATGTAAGAGGCACAACACAGGCTTAGCCTAAGTCCAAGGAGGCCTGAGTATGTGGTCCGGCAGGATGGCAGGATGGTATCAGGCCAAAGGCCTGCTTGCTCTCTCAGACCTGCCTGCTACTACTGGCCATGGCTTTAAAGCAAAAGGCCTAGAACAGTAAGTTCCAATCAGTTTTCCGGTCCCATGCACGCTGCCCCTCCACACAGCTAGGTAAGGACAGCCCAGCTTCCAATGTGAGTCCACAGTCGGGAAGGCACTGGGTACAACAGCTGAGCTTTTCCAGCTGGCCAACAGCATATTTCAACAGCATGAAGTATTTCCCCAGACAAAAGGGCAGCATCGTTGATCAAGTGAGCTACTGAAAACCTGAAGTTACTTAGGGCAAAGAGGACCAAGGCTAAAAATGACAGCAGTGACTTGTTTCCCAAAACCGTGTCACCAAATAAATAAATAAGATAGAAAGATATGAAGAAAGAAAGAAGACAGAAAGAGAGAAAGAAAGAAAGAAAGAGAGAGAGAGAGAGAGAGAGAGAGAGAGAGAGAGAAATCAGGCTATGAAACTCAACGCCAAAAAGACTTCATGAAGTACAATTTTAAAAGCAACATAAGCCTGAAGGGCATTTTAAAATTCCGGGCTGGCTCTGGAGGGCGGAGTCTGTATTACTTTTCTGAAAGGATTTAGCAAAATATAGTTTTGTTTTGTTTTTTTTTAATCTTTAAGCCCACTTGAGCTAATCATTTCTATCTGCTATTTGATAAAGCCACGCTCCTCAGGGCCTACTGGCATGCATGATCCAGCCTTTGTGGCTGGTCAGGGGTCTCCCAAATGCTGTTTAGTTGGGGGATCCCAGGTCACTGCCTGCTAAGAACTATCATCAGGCTGGCTGGTCCTTGGACTGGAAGTGAATGCTGGGAACTTCTTGTCCATTCAGGGTGAAGCAAGTGATGGTTTGAATGAGAATGTCTCCAATAGTCTTAGGCTTTTGAATACTTAGTCCTCAGTTGGTGGCACTGTGTGGGCAGCTTACAGGGTATTCCCTTGCTGGAGGAAGTATGTCACTGGGGACAGACTTTGGGAGTGTAAAGACTCATGCCGTTGCTAGTTTGCTTTCTCTGCTTCTGGTTTGCAGTGTGGGGTGGGAGCTCTCAGCTCCTGGCTTCTGGTCACCATGTCTGCCACCCATTGGCTTGTTGTCTCCACCATCATGGACTCTCTGGAACCACAAACCTATGTGTGTCCCTTCTTCCATAAGTTGCCTTGGTCATGGAGTTTTATCACAGCAATAGAAAAGCTACCAAGACATTTCGTAAGTCATCAGACAAAGCAGGCAGCAGTGAGAAGGCGCTGGGAAGGCGGTTCAAAGAGCAGGACGCTGGGCCCAGTGCCTCCATGTGGAGCTGGTTTGCTGTCAAACCTGCTAGCCTCACAGACTGTGCCGAGGGGCCAGCCTCACAGGGGAAGCAGGGACAGGGCTCTGCAGACTGCAAAGTGCTGTATCTGTACCTTCTCCAGGAGGCGTTTCTGGATTATTCTTGCTGGTGTACCCCTTGCTCAGCACCAAGCAAAGTCATTTATGCTCACGTCTTCTTCTTGGCAGTCTTGCGTAGGCCTGTCCTTGCATATCCCATCCCGCACCTTATTTGGAATCTTTAACCACCCCCTCTCAAGTGAAGACTTGGGGGACAGCGACAGCAGAGGGTTTAAGTGATTGGCTTGTAGTACTGTAGCAAGGGGTAGTAAGGGGCTTTTGAGTCCATACTCCTCTGGTCTCTGACACAAAGGCCAGGCAGGGGCAGAAAGCAGAGGGGAGAGCTATTTCCCATGAAGAAATGACTCCGTGAGCAGAGTCCAGCCTATAGTTTGTGACCCAGCTGCCTAGGCTCCATTGCCCCAGGTCTAGGAGGCACTGAGTCGCCTCATCATCTGTTTACAGCTGCCCGGCCCTGCCTTGCCCAGCATGGCCAATGGAGGAAGCAGAAGGGAGCCAACAGCAATAGCTGAACAGAAGGACCAGGCTCAGTCTACCCCACAGAGGGCACAAGAGATTCCTGAAGTCTCCTGCCAGGCAGCCAAGAACAGGGGCGTCTGGACCTCTGCTTACCTGTTGTACCACTTGTGAAGCACACGATGGAGAGGTCATCAGGCTGGGGGGGCTGCAGGAGTGAGAAAAGACATATGTTGGGGAGAGCCATGGGACCCCTCTACCACCCAGTCCTGTGTTTGTGCTGTAGTGACTGACATGCGGGGCATCATGTTACACACTCCTGTGTACCACAGTTGGAACGATGGGCAGGTGAACACCCGGAAAAGAGGAAAGAGGCACAGTACACAGATGAGATTGTGTCCTACAACCTCACACCTCGCTCTGTTTCCCCTCCCCCAGCCTGAGCAGTGTTAGACATGGGGTTGGGCTGCAGAAGCCAAAGACCCTTCCTTTCTAGTAGGTGTGGCTTGCTGTTGAGCTGTTCACAGCCTCCTAAGCTCTGCACCAGGCCCTAGCTGCAGCAGTGGGTCCATGGTCTTAGATCACGAAGATCACTCCGAGGCCAGGTATACACAGGAAACAGCTTCCTAAAGGGGTAGCATGTAATGTGATACATAAAAGCAAGCAAGATTCATCCAGATGAAGGGAGGTTCTTCATCTGTGGGGGCTTCTCTGGGCACAGACACCACGGTGCTGGACACAGGACATGCTGAAGAATCATGGAGCAGGTCTCTGAGGCTGAGCCTGGGGCAGGGGAGATGTAAAAATACCCAGGGTACTCATGGAGGGTTCTAGGAAGCAGAGCCCTGGCCTGCTCTGGCTCGGATGTGAGAAAGCTCAGCAGGGCTGGTGAGGGAGTGGGGAAGACTGAGAAAGAGAGGGCCAAGAAGCCGGAGACCTTGTGAGAAACTCCTCCCTCCAACACTGAGTCCAGAAGGCAGAGACTGCCACTGCAACCTGACCTTGGGAGGCACCACATGGGATGGCACCCAGAAAAGCTCAGGGAATGAAAATGAACAAGGAGAAGTCTACAGCGGTGGCTCATGCTCGTAATTTCGGTGCTGGGAGGCAGAGACCATTAGGTTGATGGGGCAGCCTGGCCAGCCAGCCTTGTCCAGGGTCCAGGCCAGTTGAAAGGCCCTGTCTCAAAGAGCAGAGCCTGAAGAAAATCAGTTGAAGCTGATACCAGACTGTCCCACTCACTCACATACCCTGTATAAACCTGCATGCATGCAAACATGAACAGGCATGAGCACACACACACATGCGCATGCTCACATATACTTGTATAAACACCTACACACATACTCTCTCTCTCTCTCTCTCTCACACACACACATACACACACACACTTAAAACAAAAACAAGAACAAAGATAGCTGATGCCACCAGCCCCTGGGCCATGAGGGATACTTCTAGTTCTTGGGTGTTTCTGTCCATCTCGTGTTCTGTGGGGTTCATAGCATTCAAGGGAGAAAAAGAAGACCAAGACCTCCCCATGAAAATGTTACATGAGAACCGAGGGTGGCCAGGACTGGATGTCCTTTTGTCTCTCTCCCAGTAGCGGCCTCTTGCCCTCAATCCTTGCCTGGGCGCTCAGCCCACAGCAGTGCTGGGCAGCTGGGCAGGCACTCACAGGCTGTACTTAGGAGCTGCTTACTAGCATGGAGGTATTGACATGGAGGAGCTTGTTGGCCTCTCTACCCAGCTCTGTGCACTGAGGGGTTCCAAGAGGACTAGCCTCACTTACTATCTGGCTTACCAATGCCTGCTGGGAGATTAGCTTACCACGGGGGCATGGTGATGCTCTTGGCCACAGTCCTAGAGAGAGAGAGAGAGAGAGAGAGAAAGAGAATGCTGTTTTAAAAACATTCAAAGATTGTCATAAATTAAAAAAGAAAATCAAAATTACTCACCACAGTAGGCCTTGCTCTTATACTGAGCGCAGAGCTTAGCATCCCTAACCTGACATGGGCTGTTGTGACAAATAGAGTGGTCCCTCCTCAGATATTTTTCAGCCTGGGGCTCCCGGGAAGGAGGATGGTGGGGGGCTGCAAGCCCACCCCGTGTGCTAGAGACGGGGAGCCTGCTACTCAGGGAAAATCCAGGCGCTATATACATATCACTTAGTTATGGACATGTTGGGAAACATACACAAAAGAATGGCTGAATGACCTAGGCTTCCAGATGAACAGTCAGCAGTGGGGGACAGTGGGGAGGCAGGAGCTGCCAGGGCAGGTGTGGCTAATGTCAAGGGTTTGTTAAAGAGCGCAGGGTCATGGGTGCAATAAAGGACCAAGAGAGGCATGAGGACAACTGGAAGGTTTGGCCTGGGGGGAGGGGAGGGGAGGTCTGTATGCCATACAGCGGGGTCAACTGCTACTGAGCAAACCAGAGTCCCAGGAGGCCAGGGTGCCATGCATCACTCTATTAGCTCATGCACTGCCACAATCTGATCCCTCTGAGGTGGTCAGATACGGAAAAATTAATCATGATGGCTGCTGGGAGGGTCTGGGTCTTATTGACAAGAACCGTCCCAGGTTCCTGGATCATCAAGTCCTGTGGCATCCACACATTTACACCTTCTGCAAGTGAGGAAGCTCAAGAGGCCATGGGAGTGGCTCAGGCTGGTGCCATCATCTGTCTGTTGGTGTCTGGGCCCACTGGCTGGACAGGTCTCAAAGTTTCAATCTAGAGGGTGCCTGTAAGCACAAGCCCCAGGCCTTCCTCTACCATTCCCTGCAAATCCACCTTGTCTTGCCGCAGATGAATCTGAGTGGCCATCCTAAGGCATGCAAGGATCAGGTTGCTGGCAGCTGTGACTTGGCAGCTAGCCAGCTATTACCCAGCAAACACCCGAGATGCAGATTCTCACCTCTATAGCCTTCATAGACTTGATGTTGACCCCGCACTTCTGTCCTCTCTCTCTCAGGGCATCCTCAAATGGCTCCATGAGGATGACCAGCTTGAGGCCTGGAGTCTCCTTCCTCTCCACGTGCTCCAGCAGAAGTACAGCCTTCTGAGGTTTATCCACGATCACTGTGAAGATGTCCGCTGCAGGGGCCAAAGGGGAGAGTCAGGCTGAGCAGGTGTAGGCTGGGACTGAATGGGACATGACAGGCCATGACATGATATAGTGATACCAGCTCATATGTAAATAAACATGTGGGATGGGCTATGAGGGTCATGCATCATGTGGGCCATGAGTGCTAGGAGGAGTTGAGGGCAAAGGCCAGGGAGCATCCTAAAGCAGATAGTTCAGCTTTTCTTCAGATAGCCCCCATGAGCTCTGTCTGCCTGGGATATTTACCACCATAGCAATGATGATGCCAAGCTGTAGGAACCTTGCACGGCCATAGCCTCTTAGAAAATAGAGAGAGGCTTCCTCATGGCATCCCAGACCTATGGACGGAGGCTTTAGACTCAGTTTAGACTCAGAAGGCCAACTCAGGGGAAATCGTGTGAGTCCCTAGTGTTTTGTTTTGTTTAATTGTGAAATAGAGTCCCAGGGTGCTCTCCAACTGGCTGTGCAGTCAAGGATGGCTTTAAACTTCTGATCTTCTTCCTCCAACTATCCAAGTGCTGGGATTTCTGACATGTTCCACTGGGTCTGGATAATACCTTAGGATTTTCTGAGAGCAGAAGTAAAGCGGCTTTTCTGAATGTCCAACAATCAGTATGGCCCAAGAGGCTGGCGGCTGGAGGGCTAGCTGCTTATGAGAGAGGGGCTGGAGGGGGGGCTCACCTGTATTGATGATGTAGCAAATAGCCCCTGGGCCCAGGGTATCATAGAGTGGGACTACCACCATGGAATATGTGTAGCAGGCCAGCTCTGCAATGATCCACTAAAGAAATGCAAAGTTAGGTAGAGTTAGAGGGAAAAGAGGTAAGATAGGTCCAGAGAGTGAGTCAGTGTGTGCCAAGGATAACCCAAAGACCTCTGCTTGCTACCCTAGTGTATAACCCCTAGATTTCGTGTCCAAACAGCCCAAATCCTGCATGGGCCTCTTCATCATGGCTTTTTCTTCCCTGTGGCTCCAGGCACAATGTGGATGGAGCTTGGATAGGACATCCATTCCCGCTGCAGGGAAGAACTGGGCACGTAGGTGGTAGTGCCATGGCTTTGGTCTCAGTCCCCAGGCTCTACCAAGAGTGGAAACAAGACTTCCGATCCCTGTCCCCCTGACGCCTCTGAAAACAGTCAGACAGATGCTCACCTCTGGCCGATTCTGTGCAAAAACGCCAATGAACTGCTCTGGGCCCACTTTACAGTCGTGCTGGAGAAGTCCTGACCCCAGAAATTCAGCCCTCTTGGCCACCTGTGCAGAGATGGGCAGGAGTTGGGGGGTGATGGACAAAGGAGGAGGCTTCGGTGGGGCTTGTCCAAACAGCTTCTGGGTTCTCCACCCAGGTATGCAGAGAGCCCCTTGAGGCTGAGGCAGGGAAATTCGGTGGGAAAAATAAAGTGATGCCCTCTGGCTTGTCAATGCTCCATCAAGGGTGTGGGAGGGGTTCACTGTCCGGGGTCAATGGCTGTGGGGAGGGGTGGGGTCATAATCTTCAGCTGTTTAGCCACTGATTCGCTTGTTGTTCATGCTCCTGTAGCTGAGCCCCCACCTCTTCCGGCAAGCAACCCTACTGAAACTCGGCGGGTCACAAAAACCAAACAGACAGGGAAGTGGGAGGGAGAACTTGTCAGGGGAGGAATCCGGTGGGGATGAGGGAGGTGATGGGAGGCAAAAGCAACTCATGACACTGTCAAAGAGTTTAAAAACAAGTATAAGAATAAAAAATCGAAGCAAAACAGGATTGTGCAGATAAGGTGCCCCAGGCTTCACACGTGGACATTTCTCATTGTGATCGTTCCTCTAAAGATCTTGAACAAGAAGACTTTAATATCACACATGTATTTGCATGTTTTAGTCTGTTTTACTTTACTTTTATGGCTTCGTTTCATTTTTATCACTTTTGAGGGATTTCTTTTTACCGTAGATAACATCTCAGTTGACTGTCATGTTTTCTGAACATGGTTTCTCCTACCTCTTCAGACAAGCCAGACATTGCATGCACATTGTTCTATTTTCATAACATGTTCTATAAAAAAGATACACAAAACTTTTCAATGTAAAAACTAATTTTAAGGAATGAGGCTCAGCTGGGCATGGTGGCACATGCCTTTAATCCCAGCATTCACGGGGGCAGAGGCAGACAGATTATTGTAAGTTCGAGGCCAGCCTGGTCTACAAAGCAAGTCCAGGGCAGCCAAGGCTATACAGAGAAACACTGTCTTGAAAAAAAGAAAGAAAGAAAAGAAAAGAAAAAAAATGAGGTCCCTGGAATCCATCTGGGTACTCCTGAGCCTTCCCTAACCCAACAGAGCTTTAGGGCTCCAGGGCTGGACAGGATGAGGCCTGGGCCCTCACTCACCTCTTTGTAGGATAGCCACTGATAAGGCTGTTCTGGCTTCCGGAAGCCAAGACAGGGCCCATTCCCTGCAAAGAGACAAATGGGCCTTGTGTCAGGGAGGGAGGTGAGTGGACTCTCCTCCTGCCCGTCGACCAAGCACAGGAAATAGTATGCTCTGGATGACTCTGGGTCCAGGAAACTTCCCTGAAGCAGCTTGCCTCCCTGCTGTGGCCCAAGAAGGGTATAAGAATGCAAGAACAGCTTCTCCCCAGGTATCTGGGAGTCCAGGAGTGGGATATCGTGTTACCCAGTTTCTACTTTGACTTACGCGACCTATGGGAGAACTACAAGGGCACTTACAGTGGCCGGAGAAGGTAGCAGGATGGCCCTCTGTGACTGTCTCCCTTTGTCTCAAATCCTGGGATTACTGAGGCATCTTAGGGGTGCAGGTTCCAAACCATGGTTGACAGTATGATAGGACGGTTCTAGGCTCCCCAGAGGCTGCTCGTGGTGTATATAGAGTTCAAGGCCTGACATCAGGCAGCCAGTGTGAAGGGTTGAAGCAAAGCTGATGTCAGCCTTGAGCCGCGTAAGTCAGCTGCTTCTCTAACTGGTGGGAGGACCAGGGGCTCTCTGCTGACCTGGGCACTGCTGTGTCCAGGCCCATACTGGAGACCTGCTCAGTGCCCTGATACAACTCTCCATGGACCCCTCCTCACCTGAGATGCTAAGCCCGCGGCAGAACACCTGGTACATGGTCCGGGCATCATCATAGTAGTGGGTAAGCAACTGAGTGCTACCGCCAATCACAGATCTCCGGGCTCCACCACTGTCCTAGAAGCCAAACATAGCAGGCAAGTTGGCTGAGGCAGGCAGAGACATCCGGTCCTGGTGTGTACACAGCTTGGAGGCACTCCTGGTTCATATACCTGAGGCTTGGAAGTGCTCACATTCATGGCCTGTTCACACCAGAGTATACACACCCGTTGGTTTGTATCCACACTGAGCGTGACCAGTTACTACATGCAGGCCCCGCTTTAACAACGTCCCCCCAACACACACATTCGACAAGTGCACTCTAGCATTTATATACCAGATCACTGGCAAAGAATGCCCACATTTTTTCAGTAACTCTTGACACATGGCTCCACAATAGAATTGAAGTCTGTTATCACTTAGAATCAGGACCAACCTGCCAAGGTACCCTGCACCCGGCCATCTATTGCTGTGCCCCTAGGACAGCTGTGTATAGCCTTGAGCTCAGAAGATTGGCATCCATCATCAACATGCTAGGGTAGATTTGCTGACAACTGTGTGTTAAGGTACTTTCCCAGGAACTGAAGCCTAAGAGAGTGTGTGGGGTGGAGCTGGAGGTTGGAAGGAGGACAGACTGGGCAGGGAGATCCTAGGCCCTCAACCATGCAGAGGACGAAGTGTGACAGGGCTAAGGACAGGATTTGGGCATCTGTGCCTTCCTCTTCCTCCTCCTCAGGGCCCCCAAGCCCAGCGCTCTTCTACCACAGCTCTGCCTGATCTCTCAGTGCTATTTGGGTTATCCTGGGATGGCCCAGAGCCAGCTAGTTCTTGGAACATTGAGTCTGAAGAAGAATCAGCACCACACAACAAGCAGCCAAATGCAAAACCACAGGCAGCTCCCGACTGTTTGGAGTGGAAAGTTCTGCTTGGCCAGTTCTGCCCAAGAAAGACCAACGTGGGAAGTTAGGGGTACATGCAGTTAGACCCACTTCACACCCATGTAGCAGATAGGACACTTCAAGAGATTGTGTGCCAGCAGGGACAGGAGAGGGAGGACTGAGTGTTAGCCAAGGACACCTGACTGGAGTTTGATGGATGCATAAGTTTGGCCAGGCAGAATGACAGTTGCAAGCACACACTTAGGGTCGAGGGGCACAGAGTGCTGGGGGTCTGTGGGAAACCTGTGACGCTCTAGGTAAACCTGAGGTGAGAGGAATCTAGAGAGGGCCACAGACCCAGTCATGGGGGCTGGACTTTTGGGTGGAGGGCAGTAGCCAACCGTGGGAGGGCTTTAAGCTGGAATCTTTAAACAGTCTGAATTATGTATGACCCAAGAGGACATGCGTTTGCCTCCCTTGCCTCATTTCTTGCGCAATCAGTCTTGCCTACTTCACACAGCCACTCATACGTTCCTGAAGGACAGGACCAGAAAAGTCTTTCCTGAGAGAATGGGTCTTTCTAGAGGACAGGGACAGGGGGTCTTCCCTAAGGTCTGTCTGGGTGACTTGCAATTATAAGCTGAACCAAAGTCCAACAGTGGTTTCTCTGAACCACCCTACCAACCCTTTGATGCTCTTTTGAGTACCCACTTTACAAGTGACATGGTGGCTCAGAGCCAAGAAGCACATAGCCCAGGAAGGCACTTTCAGGCCTCCAGCCTAGTATTTCTGTTCTCCATTCTCATCACCACACCACTGGTCTTCTCCAGCCCCTCTCCAACTGGCCAGCGCCAAACGCAAACACACTGCATACTTTCAACTATACCTGGGCCTTTTCACATATCACTCCTTCTACTAGGATGACAGAATGAGGATCCTGATCCCTATTCTCTCTGTGTGCCCTCCCCAGCTGGCACACAGATGTATGATCAAAAACAAAGTGAGGTGCACAAGTGTGTATAGAATGATCTCACTTAAAACTGGGGAGCTCACTGAAAACTGCCCCGGGGGAAGCAGAGGCAGGAGGATCAGGGGTATAAAGCCAACCTAGGTTACATGAGATCCTGCCTAGAAAAAGACAACCAACCAACCAACCAACAACCAACCAACCAACCAACCAACCAACCAACCAACCAACCAACCAACCAACCAACCAACCAACCAACAAAATGGTTAGGAGTGGGAGCTATCTCTCCATTTGTTCTTGGCTGGGACAGAACTGCTAACAGAACCAAAAGCCCAGCTGCATGGTACCCTTTGTTTATTACAAGCTATGTGAACATACCAAAGCCAAAACCAAAGTCCTTAAGTTCCATAGAGGAGCAAATCTCACCCTTGCTAGCAAGTCAGTTTATCTCCATCCTTGCTGCTAACCTCCCTGTGAACCCAGGTGCTATGAGGGAGTGGGCAGGACCCCAGAATGAGCTCATCTGTGATCCCCTGTCAGCCAGGGCTGGGGGCAGGAACTTGGTAATGAATTTACCCTACAGCCCTGAGGATCTGCTTAGCATGCCTGGTGATCAAGGAAGGCCAGGCTCTGCCGAGGGCCAGTACTTGGCAGAGGTGGGAGGACCATCTTGCTGGAGACCTTGCCCAAGGCTGCTGCAGAGCAGGTTGGCTGGTTACCAGGAAACACTGGGATTCTTTGGGCTGCTTGGGGGTCAGACAAGCTATGGGTTTGGCTTCTGCCTTCTGGAGCTACTTTGCATGATGGGACAGCCCCTGCCCGGCTCACCTCCACTTCTTCCGATTGCATCAGGAGATTGCACGGTGGTTGCAAGGCCTTTGGCCGGTGAGTGAGCCAGTAGGCTAGAATAGCAGCCAGTGCACCCATACTCACGAGGGTGGTGGCTGAGAGGCTGCGGAAAAACTGGCCCAAGTCCGCTAGCTCGGGCAGCCTCAGGATCCTCAGGATCTCCTGGGTCTGCATCTTCTCCAGAAGTGAGAGGACAATCTCTGTAGGAAACAGGAGACAGGTGAGGGAGGAGACCAGACAGGCAGGCCATCCAGGGGTCCTAGAGGATGAGTCAGGCCCTGGGGCAATCAGATACGTAGTCTGCTAGCGCTACACAGTGCAGGCCAGAAACTGACCACCAGGAGATGCTTTTTTCTGGTGAGGGGCTAGACCCCTCATCACTCACATCAGACAGCCTGGCCTGGGGCCATGGCTGACAGATGTTTCCACATTTTCCAGGGCATTGCACTGGAGGTTCTGGGCATGGAGTCTCTCAGGCCTCAGGGCCCTTTGTCCTTTGCTTATGTTTGCTCCCAGGATACAGAAAAGATAGACAGACAGTGGAAGCAGCTATCTCTGTGAACAGGATGAGTGGGGTAGAGGGAGGCAGGCTTTACCTCATCCACCTCTGAGCTTGAACCCTAGGCTTTAATGCCACAGGAGGGAGGGAAGGGATATTTGGCAGAGCCCATGGACTAGCCCAGATAGAGACCTCCAGGCTTCACGACTTGAAGGCAATGCCCAAATGACAATATGACCGCAGTGGCACTGCACTGCCGCACGTGGGGTACCAAGGGGCATAGCTGGCCACATCCTTGACTGGATACAGTTAATGGAGCGGAGGGAAATGTTTAGGCATTAAACTGATGGGAAGAGGAAAATAAAGAAGGCTAAGAGAGGAAGGACTCAAAGTAATAGATGGGTCTAGCGTCTACCGGCATCTGCTTTGATGTGCAGGGGGTGGCCAGGGTGCACCCCAAATCACTGAAGTCCAAGACAATGCAGCAAGCCTCTCGGGGAGACATGGAAACACCCTGGAGGTGAGCGGGGCCCCTCCCAGAGATCTCTCATGTCCTCCTGTTAGCTGCTAGGTGAAGGCACATTGGCAGGGCAGGTGCAGCTTGCGGGGCTCTGGGTTCTGCACCTTGCTAAGGTCCGAGAGGGTACAGAGGAATTGTCCAGGTGTCAGGCACTGGCATTCACATGGGGATGCCTTAGTGTCACTACTTAGTAAGACCTGGAGCTAGACTGTCCTGGGATGTTCATAGACAAGCCATCCCAGGGATTGCAGGGCAGGCTCTGGACTGCCCTGAACCTTCTGTTGGCTTCCTCCTCAGGGGCCCTTGACACCATGGAAGTGTTTGGTATGGTTTTCCTTCTTCGGAAACAAAAAATAAATGCCAAAGGTGGTAACTCTGGAGCCATGGGATAGGAGTTAAAAGCTGCTTGACCTCTGAGGGAGGAGAAAGCAGCTTAAATTCCAATAAATAGTAGTTGTGTTAAACTGTGACATTATCACACGGCATGAGGTCAGCAGTGGGCAAACTCATTGTAGGCAGAGGGAAGAAAGTTCTTCGGTTCAAGCCTCTTCTTTATGTATAAGCTACACATGGCTAAGCACATCCCACCTCTCTGAACCTGCACTTCTCCATCTTTAAAATGGGCACAGTACCCAGGCATGGCAAAGTAACAGAAATATAGACATAACTAACAGATATGCTTGTCAGATGGAAGAGAGGTTGCTCAGCTTCATAAAGAAAGAGCGAGGCAGGCCTGGCCCAGGTGGTCCAATCACCAGAGACTGGCCCATTCCCTGTGCTTCCATGGGAGCGTAATTTTGAAGATGCACAGCAGGCTGTCTGAGATCCAGGGACACTCATCAATCTCCAGATAATGGGTGTTCCTAGGGAGCCGTCAAAGTGGGCCCCTACTTAGGCAAGGGCATTGTTCCCCGACCTGTGGAGCTTGAAGCCCAGTTTTAGCAGCAGTCCTTTTTGTTGTATAAACGTGTGTGAGCATTTTGCCTGCAGGTGATGCCTATGCGCCATACACATGCATGGTGCCTATAGAGGTCAGAAGAGAGCATCAGATCTCCTGAGGCTGGAGTAACAGTTGTGAGCCACTATGTAGGTGCTAGGAATTGAGTGTGGGTCCCTGGAAGAGCAGCGCTCCCACCAGCAAGCAGTCTCCTTAGCTGAGACAATGATAAGAACAAACATCCCACAGGAATCGCACACACACACTCACTGCAGACCAGCTGACCAAATTAAGGTTCCCGTCATCAGCAGGGTCACAGCAATGGGCCACAGTTCACTAAGGTTCCCCTCTCTAGGGAGGGAGGGCTCTGGGCAGGTGGCCAGCTGGCCTTTTCCTCTTGGGACATCCATTTACCTAAAAATGTAGATGGGAAGACGAAGTCGCAGCTGGACCTACCAGAGGAGCGACTCACTGTTTAGTGGGAAACAGGACACCTCCACCAGCTTTTGGGGTGAGCTCTGAGCTGGGGCTGTTCCCTTGAATGAAATGGACTGACTCAGCGGGCCCCATCCAGCCCCCAAGAACTCCGCTGTATAGTTTAGAACAATATTTAAGAGACTGAAAGAATACTTTGGGATCACCAATCCCAGGCCTTTGGCAGTTGCTCATAGGCAGACCTCAAACTGCAGCACAAATGAGACATCCAAGGCAGAGGGTGTGGTGCTGGCATCTCCTCAGAGCATTGAGCAGGATGGCCAGGCCACCCACCCATCTTCCCACCCACGTGTATGGAAGCCTCCACACGGTCTCTGTTCTCGCCAACTCGGAGTTGCAGGGTAGACTGAGGGAGCGGGCAGTGTTCTGCAGTACGGTCTGGGCTGCAGTCAGACACAAAACTGCAAAGCAGGCGCCTGACTCAGCTATGACAAGGCAGAGCAGGCTGCTGGCAGGGAGTGACACAGCTGCGGAGGCTGAAGGATGAAGAGAAAAGGGTGTCCCGGGTAGAGAGAAGCCAACACACAAAGGCCGGAGAGTGCCTGGAACACGCGGGGAACTGAGGGCTCTTTCTATTCTTTTATTTCTCAAAGAAATAAAGTCTTTGAGCCTCTGGAATCCTGTGCAAAGGTCACCATCACAAGCCTGTGAGGATAGTTTCTGAGCTCCGGGGAAAGTGTGACTTGTCTAGACTCCCTGACTTTCTGAGTCCGAGAAAAACTATCCTGTACACCACGCTGTCTGGTCCCCACAACAACCTCCACACACACTGCAAGAAGGTGGAATGGGCTATTTAACTGAGTTGGGGACATAGCACACGTCTCCTTGTTTTATGTGGCCACCCCATTGGCTGTCAACACGAACCCCTTCCCACAATTCTCCTCCCCTTTGCAGTAATATTGAACACACAGAAAAAAAAAAAACAAACAAACAAACAAACAAAACAAAACCAAAAACACCTAGCTCCTGCCTGGTCAGGAGGACCAGGTTCAGGTCCTGGGAGTGAGGGGAACATGCTTTTACTCTGAAATTCCATTCAGACCTGAGAGCCACTGCAGGGCAGGGCTGTGAGTCCAGGTCCTCTAAGGACACTGGCTTTGGAGCCAGCATACACCACCAAGCCCTTGGCATGTGGGAGGGGGAGAGCAGAGACTGGTTCTGGGAGTCTGGTCTCTGGTTATTTTACACAGCCCTGGCCTCCTCTGACCTCCTGATACCTGGGGTGTCCCTGAGCTCCAAGCTCAGCTGCCTCTTCCCGTGCCCCAGGAGGCTTTTCCGGTTGCAGCAGACATGGCGGGCGGCAGTACACAGACAGTACCCCAGGGACTAGCGGTGCCGCCGTTGCCAAGCGAGCTGCTGTTGATGTTTATAACCGTCTACCTGGCAGGAGGACCCAACTAGCTTCCTCCCAAGCTTTTCCCTCCAGCAAGGACCCTTTCGGAATACCAAGCGGTGGACCAGACTGGGCACCCCAAGACTTCTTCCCATCAGCTCACCAGGTCAGGTGGGTGTGATCAAGGGTGGGAGAGAGAACAGAACAAGGGGAGCCTTGGTGGGAAATACACGACCCCAGGGTGATAAAGTGGATGGCTCACAGTGCCAAGCACGAACCCTACAGAAATGGCCCTGAGAGACGGTGGCCAGCTTTGAGGGAGCCCCCTCTGCTGAGGCAGCTTCCCACTCTACTCCTCCACGCCTTCCTAGGCTACCTATATACCGCAGTATGGAACGACTGCCCCTATGAAGCTCTCAAACCTGGCCATTCCCCCAGCCCAAAGCCCCTGGCCAGCCACTACCCAGCGCAGCCCAGACTCCCAGGCTGCATCTCTTTTCTTTAACCCTTTCTTACATTCACACCAAGGTTAATTCCTGTAACACAGATGTGACTCTGCCACGCCACTGCTCCAACACCTCATCTGGTTCCCTGCTGCCTTAGGACCCAAAGTCCAAACTCAGTGTGCTGGCCCCAAGGGTGCCCATGGTCCTCTGAATCTTCTCTTGGATTTTGATAGCACCTCCCTTGCTACTCAGCATCAGTGAGGTCTGGTCCAATGGGGTCCTGGACTTCTGCAGTCCTTGGAGGCCTCTGTTAATGGCGGGCAACATGAACCAAGCCATCAAATCATCAAGGAACCAACTCCCTGGGCGTTGGGGAACTCAAACCACAATCTCACCAGGCCCCGGGGTGTAGCACTCTAGTCATCAGGTTGGGGGAGTGAACCAGAAGGTGGATTCCAGTGCTGGACTGACCAGCCTCCAAATCCTGACTCAGACTCCTGATAGCTGTGTGGCCTCAGACAAGTCACTGAACCCCTCTGGGCCTATTTTCAATGAAGATCATGGGCAGGGAATTGATGCCAGGCACACAGTAAGAGAAGTGCTCAGTGAAGAGCCGTTAGCTGAATCGGTTACTCATGCCTTTGCCACCCACAGGAGCTCAAAGACAACTCACAAAGGGCTATACAGTCACCATCCTACCTTTCCAGCTGGCTCCGGGCACTGAGGAGGTGGTGGAGCTGGTCCTGCTAGAACCAGCCTCCCTTTCTAGGGCCTGTGGAGCCCAGGGAAAGAGTTTACCACATCTTGATCAAAGAACAAAAGTTGCAAAGGCCCTGCCCCTGGGGACAGCTGATGGCAACAGCCGCCTGCTCTGAGCTGGGTGGTGGTAGAGGCATTAACTGTGGGGATGGTGGCTCCCTGGTGGCGGTGGGAGCAGGCTGTAGGGACCAAGGCACAGAGCAGCTCTGTGAGGAGCTGTTGGCCCCTCAAGGCCTCCACTGGCCCCCCTTCGTCTGCACATGGGGCGGTACTTACTCGCTCAGGCCAGCTCAAAGCCAAGCAACCAGGCCTTAACCCTCACTCTGCCAGCCTGCCAGGGCCTCAACTCATGCCCTTCCACCTTCCCTGACCCCACATTGTCTTTAGTTTGGGAGAGGAGTTAGCTATGGGTTCTCAGAGGACAAAGCATCTCTCTCCTTCTCTCTCTCTCTTTCTTTCTCTACACACACACACACACACACACACACACACACACACACACACACACCTGAGCCATCAATTGAAGGCCAGGGAACTTGCATCTCAAATCTGCCAGATTACACTTCTCTTTGGTGCTCTACATTTTTTATCATGATATTTGCCCAGTGTGTGTGTGTGTGTGTGTGTGTGTGTGTGTGTGTGTGTGTGTGTTTACAAGAGTACTACAGTGTGCACAGTCAGAGAACAACTTGCAGGATTCGATTTTCTCCTTACACTGCATGGTTTCCTGGGATCAGACTCAACTGAGCCACCTTGCCATCCCTCTACTTTCCTCCAGATGTCTTGCGACAGGGCTCTCAGGAGGACAAATACCTCCTACAGTGCTTCTGGGGGGGGGGGACACTTAAAGGGCAAGAAGCCCAGTGACCACAACCAGGGTTCTGGTGGGTGGAAGCTGCAATGTGCCAGGGCCCTGGCGCTGGGGGGGCAGTTCTGTTCCAGGAAGTGTGATCCAGTTGTCAGGGTAAGAAAAGCTCCTGCCTCACCACCGAATCTGAGTAACCCTAAACCCACGTGGCCACGCAGCAGACCTCGCTAGGCCTAGCAACTGTCTCATCTGCATAAGGATCCAAGCTCAAGTCCGGGTGACGGAGGGAGCTCCCACTCCATTTTCCTCTTGGGTTTTAATTAGATTTATGGAGCCACAGATGACTGAGTCAAGGGCTTTCCCAATCCAGTGTGTATTCCTTGTGAGACACGGTTGCTGAGTTACCGGATGGCTTACTCTCAAGCTCTCTGGGGAGCCTGATTATAGCTTTCTCTTAAGGGTGACTGAAGCTCCTTACATGCAGAAAGGCCCAATTGAGGTTTACTGCTACTAGCCACTTCCCTGGCTACCCCAACTCACCGTGACCATGCCTCCATCATCTGCCTTCAGCAACCTCCATGGCCATCCTCAAGATAAGCACCTCTCAAAATTTTCACTCACCCCAAACCCCTGCCGGAGACCATGGCCACACCCTTGTGGTGAGCAGACCAGAAAGAAAGGCTCAGACTGCCCTTCCAGAGACTCAGAAACAGAAGTAGCCTTGAGATCAGAGTAACAAACAGAAACACAGTGTCTTTTTGCAGGAGCTAAGATAAGCCTCGTCCTCACCATAAGTCAGGCTCAGCGAAACCCAGACCTGAGGGAAGACAACAGCAAGGGTAGCCGCCCCTTTGGAGATATCTACAAGGCAGGATGACCAGAAATGATGGCTGTGATGGACTAAGGCTTTGTGGGTAAACTGAAGTCCCATTGTTCCTCCTTCCACATAGTGCTCTGGGACAGTAGGCAGAACTTCAAGGATACTGGTGAGAGCCGTGGTCACCACACAGACAGAGGGACACTCCTGACTGTCTCATTGTACAGGAAGGCAAGTCCTAGGCGCATCATGATCCTTTCCCTTTGAGATAAGTCCTCAGTAGGATTGCTAATGCCTTGGCCTCAGGGCCAGGAATCCATTTCAGTGCTAGCCTAGACTGAGGACAAGTTCAATGCTGCAAATTCAAGCTCAGTGAAAGATACATCTGCTCTCCTGGCAGGAACATGTGCTCAAGATTCCAACTGCAGATGGCCAAGGTACAGGCAGGACAGCTTCCTCCAGCTAGAACCGTGTTCCTTGAGGTAGACATGGCCCAGGAGAGACACACTGGGGTTATGGAGGTGGGAGCGGAAACTAAAGGCAGACCTGCTTGCCTGCTGTCACTTGACACTGTTGTTTTCTTGGGGATGCCTGCCTGGACAGAACTGGAGTAAGAACAAGGATGGGGCTAAAGGATGGGGACCCGGAGGACAGCTAGGCTAGGGCAAAGTGGCACAGTGGGTTAGGAAGTCATAGGAAGAGCCTATAAAGAGTTGGCACCTGACAAGAGTCCTCCGTGTGGGGAAAAAGGCATGAGCCTGGCCGTACCAAGGACCGGAGCAGGAAGCTGAGGCTGATAGGAGATATTTAGCCGCAGAAGGTAAGCAATTACAGCTGGCCCTGGGGGCCTCATTCCTTCCAAGGCACAGCCTTGGTCACCTGACCACAGTCCAGTACCCTGAGGCCTAGGGATACAAAAGTGTCCCTGGCAAGCTATGTCTCTTTGTCTTGGCCAAGAGTGCCGCTGCTATAGCCTGGAACCCATATGGCTCTTTTATACCCACGGTTCCGGGTAGTTGAGTGTGTGTGTGTGTGTGTGTGTGTGTGTGTGTGTGTGCACGCATACCATACACATTAAGCAATGAATCAGTCTTGCCTTTAATTCAAGGCACATTTTCTGACAACGATAAATTGCTATACTTTCTGGCTGCCATGGAAAGAAATAAAAGGGGATTTACTTCCACTGCAGCAGAAGGCCACGCTGAAAAACAAAAGTCTGCCTCCCTCTGCACCAGCACTCTGGAGGTCAGGGGTGGGTAGGGCTTGCAGCTTCAGTCTCTGGCTCCATAGCCCACAGGGTTAACTTGGTGCTCTTGGCCGGGCTAGGGACTGGGAACTCAGGCCTCCTTTCAAGGGCAGGATGAATGGGGGAATATGCAAATGGATGCTCTGCCTCCCAAGCTGCGGGGGAGGGCCTGCTGCTGGCAGGCCTGTATCACCCCACTCTGGGCCTGTCACATGAAAGGGTTTGCACTCCTGTTGCTGGCTCCTGCAGCCAGGTCAGGCTGGGGCTGTTCTCACCAGAAAACAAAAATCTCTTTCAGACCAAGGCAAAGTGAGGCCCCAGGCAGCCCAGGCAATGCTATTGGAGGCTGTTCACGCTGACCTACTGAGGGTACCCATTCCTGAATCTTGACTTTCCATCCAAAGAAAAGGCCCGGCATCTTTGCAGAGGGCCCGAGAAGCCTCTGTGGCCACTGAGGAAAGCACAGGGGTCAGGGTTAGGACAACAAATAGGACCGCCCATTCTGCAGTTCTGTTGATTTTTGTCCTTTTCAAAAACAGCGATGGCTGAGATAGAGAACACAAGGTTGTTTGTTTTTTTTTTTATAAGGAGACCCCTGATAACTTCATAATGTTCATGATGAATGCCAAGGGAGGAACGCAGAAAAGCAGGGCTAGAAACAAACAAACAAAACGTGTAGTGAACAGAGAAGAAAGACCTTTAAGGACAGGGAACACTTGTATTTTCCACCTCGTGCTTTTGTTGCTTCTCTCGAGGAAGGGTAGAAAGGCATGGAAATTTGGAGGGGCCTGAGGAGGGGTATGGAGCTCCTCACTCTGGAGTACAGTCGAGGCCTCATACTAGTAAACAACAGCATAAGCAAGAATTGCAACCCAGCAACTGCTTGAGGCCTGTTTTCCTTTCCCAGCTGTAAGTCTGTAGTTTGTTTGTTTGTTTTTTTTTTCTAGGAATCTCACCAGAAACCCCATTTACATGGAAAGGACATCCACCAACACTCTTGTGCACCCCCGCTGGTGCCTGGCTTCGTCTGATCAGTATAATTTCAACCAAGACATCTCAGAGTCATGTCACTTATCAAAAGAGAGGAAAAACAACTGGTGAACAGTTTCTTAGCAACCTGTTGTGTTACAGCTCCAGAACAATGGCATGAACAGATAAGGCAGGTGAAGCACTCCTCTCTGCGAAGCTCAAGCCCATGTTTCCAGGTGTGTCCACCTGCAGCAAAGAGCACTCCTCTCTCTCTCTCTGAATCCTCTGGCTTTTGCCTATGTTGAAGTAACTTTACTAAGTCTCAGTTTTTGCCACAAACTGGCTGGTCTCAAAATTTCTTTCCCACACTGAAGCTAGGAATCACAGTTTTGCTTGAGTGGAGGTCCTTAAAAAGTCTAGGGGAACCCTAAGGCTGACGAGGGTGATGGTGGGTTGCTGTGTCTCTTTCCCTTCGCCTCTTACGCTCTGACATCCCAGGGTCACCAAGACCCGTCCACCAACCACAGAATAAATCTTGGACATCACAAGCACCCATGTGAGGCTCAGAATCCTGCTCTTAGAAATCAGGGATGCAGCAGGTATCAGGATAGGAGATAGTTCATCAGGCAGCTTTGTCATTCAGTCCAAACGAACTCATAAAGAATGACAAATACCTTTCATTTGATCCAGCATAAAAAAATAAAAATAAAAAATAATTATATTTTCATCCAATAATTTACCAAAGGCATACTTGCCTTACTGGTATGAAATGAAAAATGGGTTTTCTTAAACCATGTGTCTTAATTCCATGTTAGAATATCAAGACTGTAGATTGCCATGTGGCCTATGCCATCTTAAGACATCAGCTTTTGAATTTCCTTCTTAAATAAAAAGGGTATTGTGGTATTAAAACACATTTAAGAGGTTTAAAATGTTTTAAGTAAATTCAAAGGATTACTACAGTTCAAACTTATTTTCTAAATCTCCTAAGAGTTGGATTGATTTGGAGCTATGGTAAAGTATTTTAGTAGGGAGATGGTAGCCCATGCCTTTAATCTCAGCAGAGATAGGCAGATCTCTATAAATTAGTTGTTTCCTAAATTCTAGAGTTACAGTGATCAAGGGGAGGTGGCACAGGCCTTTAATCTCACACCCAGGGACAAACCTCAGATATAGCTCCTAATTGGAATATTTGTACCAGTTAGGGAAATCACATACCATACTTACAGATTGTTATAAAAATTCTCCACAGGGTTAGTAGAAAGGAAGCTAATTTCCAATGGGACAGGAACAAAGAGTAGGTTTTGCAACTGCCTATAAGTTCATCTTCGTGGATGCCACCCTGACCCGTATTGGAGCAGAAGATAC